ATTATCTTCAGAAAATAGGAATTTTATCTGATATTAGGTTCTATACCTAATGTATTAGACTGCAAGATTTTGGAAGTTTGGTATTAGTGTATTCTTAATTTCAATAAGGTCAAAGGGTTGACCATAGAGTATAGAAATATCTCCACTTCAGCAATTAAAGATACATGCCGGAAGGGCTTCTGTTTAAATAAATGCACATCTGGTTCAGTAAAATCAGTAACTTTTACTATTATTATCTTGTTGAAGGCTGTATATTTATTGTGTAGATGTATTTTGTTTTTGTGTCATTGTTGGTCCCTGGGGGTTACCCAGTACTTTCAGATACTGGCATGAAAATGTCGATATTGTATTTAGGAAATTTACAGTGAAATAATTTGAAATTAAGGAATGTATCTCCATCATGCACAGCTTTTACTGGCTATACCTTTGGTCCTTTTCAGTTTTATCAACTCTTCAAAGGTTGTGATTTCTTTCGGAATTACAATTGTAACCCATGGCCAACTGTCATATACAGAACAAATTTGTTGAAATGCACATATGGTGTAACTTTCTTGTTGAAGACTGTATGTTAATGTCTAGAAGTATTTTGTTTTTGGTGTCATTGGATTGAAGTATACTACACATAGATATAGAAAGATGTGGTATGAGTGCCAATGAGACAACTCTCCATCCAAGTTACAATTTATAAAAGTAAACCATTATATGTCAAGGTACGGCCTTCAACACGGAGCATTGGCTCACACCGAACAGCAAGCTATAAAGGGCCCACCTCCTTTTATTCATAATGAGGTATAGATTGTTATTTAGCAAATTGTAACCAAAACGTATAGGGAAAATTTAACATTAATGATTTAATTGATACTTGAATGAAGGAAGGAAGGGTAAAGGACATGTGTTGGGAATAAAATAATTTTTGTCTAAAATTGAGGAAAATATACTTTTATTTCCAATTATATAATTATTTTTGGGAATTGTTTCAAGAGTTTGTTTCACATTCAATTCATTGGCCGAAACTGGGACTGAAAAAATGGAATCCAAAAACAAAGGCTCCACCATTTAAATTACTTTATGTGGATAGGTAATTCCCTAATATTTGTTAAAAAATAATTTATATTTCAGTTTTTATAGTTAATGAATAAAGTATATTGGTTTTGGTAAAATCTCCTTAAAAACCTAGCAGCAAACCATTTCATGACAATATGAAGGCATACTAAGGAAATGCTATGAATAGACAGGTGCTCCATTTTAGATTAAGTTGGAATGAAAAGAACTATCCATTTTTATAGGGAATATTTCGGATATTGTCATTAATATTATTGTCATGAAAAGTTGTCTCCAACATATTTAGAATAAAAATTTGTCTGAGGATTTTATTTTTAGTGAATAGAGATATATTTTGTTCATCTAACTAATTATAAGATTGGGCTTATTTTGATATGAATATAAAGAGAGGTTGCATAAACATCAATAAGACAGCAACCCAAACCCATCATTTTGTTTTATTTTTAGTTTGTATTAAGATAAACTTAACGGTAGCTGTTAAAATTTTGAAAACTGAAAAGTCCCTATAGTTGAAATTAAATTACTAAATATAAAAACATTTGATATGTGTAATGATTGCCAATGAGACAACTAACTATCCACAAGAGACACAATGACGTAGATGTAAGCAACTATACTGCCTTTAACAATGAGCAAAACCCATATTGTATAGTAAGCTATGAATGGCAAGAACAATACAAATTGTAAAACAATGCATACGACCTGATTTATGAACAATAAACAAAAACAAATAAAATTAATGTTTGTTTATTATTTGTCAAGTTTAATAATAAATTTATTACATCATTTCAATAGGAAATGCATTTAGTATGTCTTGAGGTCATAGTTGACTAAAATAGTTTGGTGGTTACTACCAAAAATTACATAAACCAATGTAAAACAAAATTACTCATTTACATATAAATTATATATTATGATTTTTACATTAATTGATAGCTAAACGTGACTAGAATTTCAATGAGTTATTGTTGTGAACAGGAAATTTTCTATCAAGTGACACTGAAATTTTACAGGAAATAAGAAATCAACTATGTCATCTAAGTTTTATACAAAATACTATTAAATAACCTTGTGCAGCAAGTGAATCCTTCTTATTAAATGTTGGTTAAGAATATAAGGTTTCTGTATAAAGGAAGTTCATCTTCAGGGACATTCTTTCAAATTTTTAATTGATCTCAGCTTGCCCCAGAAATAACATATGCAGGGTTGATATTTAACTTAGGGGTTGCTGTTAAAAGTATCCTTTTCAAAGTCTTTTTAAGGAGGATGCAATATCATATAGATATTCTCAATTCTATACTTCCCTGAATATTTAGCCAATACACTGTTGGAAAATCTGCAATTAAAAATACGTAATTAGATCAAGTTTCGGTGTAATTTGATACTGAATGTAAAATTTGGGGGAACTACATTTCAATGATCTTGTGTTAAATAAATGCAAATACCTCTCATGAAATATCTTGACAAGAATAAAAGTGTAACATCTGTTTAAAAGAAGTACATCTTGAGGGTCGGTATTTCAAATGGTTATTTCACTTTATTTTAAATTTGCTTTCTGAAAGAATTACTAATGCATTGTTGGTAAAAACTCATGGGGTTTCAATGAAAAGTATGCATATGTTATTCAGGGTTTTTAGGAGGATGTATTTCTCAATTCTTCATAATTATTTTCCAGAATTTTCAGTCTTTATACTGTTAGAAAACTGGCAATTATAAAACTTAATTAGTACAAGTTTTGGTATAAGCAGATACTGAATGTAAAAAGTTGGAGAACTACTAGGCCTTTGTAAGAAACTGTTACAATTTAACCTTATACAGAATTCTCAAAAAAAACATTTTGAAATTTGATACCAGACCCATGTGTTTATGGGGAGTTTAGAAAAATACCTTTACTACAGTCAGATAATTAAGTTTAACTATATATGCAGTCAAAATCCACAACTAATTTATTATAGACATTTTAGAAAAAGTACATTGAAAAAGCAAAATATTTCTTATGTAATTTACATGTGACTGGTAATCTATTTGCTATGTATTAATTTCTTGAATTTTATTTCCATGAATTCATTACATTATTTTTGACATAATCATAACTTAAACTGGAAATGATTAATGATTATCTCCCCTGAAAATGTATCAATGACACTTTTTTTCTGTAATTCCTAAAAATATTAAGAAAATATGAGAACTCTGTGTTAAGGAATAGAAGTTGTCAATGTTCCTCCATTTATTTTTTTATTTCTTTAGAAAAATCAATGTTAAATGTTTTAATAAAATTTACAGTTGTGTCTGAATATAAAAAAAAGACCACTTAAGCAGTATATTTCAGTTTTAATTAAGACATTTAACATTGATTTTTCTAAAGAAATAATATCATTGTCTCTTTGCCAACAATTTCTGCATGAAAACTTGTTAAAAAAGATATATATATGTATTAATTTGTAAATATTTCTATTCCCTGGACACAGGGAAGGAAAAATAAGTTATCATGATAACTCTGTTATTTAATTGATACATGCATTTTACTTTTCTAAAGTTCTCTTCCATGTATTAAGTACATTTCAGACATTGACAGATGACACAGATCTCATATCAGAAATTGAATAAAAATGTTATTGAAAGACACATTGCATAATTCAAATTTTTTTTTTAAGTAACAACAATTGATATAATTTAGTCTTACATATTTTTGAACTTATTGTATTTAAAACATAATGTACTAACTTTAAGTTTACTAGGAAGTAATAGTATAAAGGAAAGAATGTTTGTTATCTGCATAGCCTATGTCTACCATGAGAAAGATAACAAAACTCTTCAGTGGCATGATCAAATATAGAATGGAAATGCCATCAATTCAATATTTCCCTTCCAGAAATTTAATGCCAAAAAAGTCTTACGATTTCTGTAATCCTATGTTTAAGGAATGACATAATGATTTTTCTTTTATCCTTGTGACAATAATTTTGACAGTTTTCGTGACTCTCAGTTGTTTATATTAATCAGGAAGGAAAATAGAGTAAATATATATGATAGTCATATGATAGTCATGTGCATTTTACACTGTCATGTGACAGTAACACATGAGATGCAGATATCTAATAAAACATAAATTTTAAAATCTCTGAATTTTAATATGCTGGTACTTTTCCATTCTGACTGTGTCAAGTCTTGGAGACATTGTCAATATTACATGTCTTGGAGACAATGCCAACTGTGTATTACAAGTCTAGGAAACAATGACATCCTCAAGTTTGGGAAACATTGTCAACCTTTTATTACAAGTCTAGGAGACATTGTCACCCTCAAGTCTAGGAGACAATGTCAACTTTGAATTTCAAGCCTTAGAGGCAATGTCAACTTTGCATTACAAATCTATGAGACATTGTCATCCACAAGTCTAGGAGGCAATGTCAACTTTGTATTACAAGTCCAGGAGACATTGTCAGTATTAAAAGTCTAGGAGACATTGTCAATATTACAAGGCTAGGAGACAATGTCATCTTTGTATTTTAAGTCTAGGAGACAATGTCAACCTAAGACTAGGAGACAATGGCATCCTTATATTACAAGTCTAGGAGACAATGTCAATCTTTTATTACACATCTAGGAGACAAACATCTTACCATACTAAGTGTTAGTTAGTACCATATAATTAAGCTTTCTTTTTTGATAGATGACTGGTGGCACTCTTCTTATAACTATTAAAATGATGACAACTACTGGTGTTAATCATGATGGCTGGATACCAACTGTGAAAAGATTTTGTATACTTAGGCTTTTATGTTAATTTAAAAAAAAACTAAACAAACATACCCAAAACTTTAACCATGTTAACAGCCAATGCCAAATTTATTGCTGCAGCTGTATTACCTCTGCATGTATTGATAATTTCAAATTGTATATGAACTTTTATTTCTACTTTCTTTTGTCTTCCTCAGTAATCCATGACCATGTACCTTCAATAAGAGATTCAGTCTTTATAACTGATGATGGAAATGATGAAAGAGAGAGCAAGCTACTGGAAGACATTGATCTTGAAGCAGATGGTGTGAGCAGTGATCCTGAATCTGGTCATGTGACCATGGAAATTAGGGTTACCAAGACAACAGATGATGACGACAGTACAGAAGACAGTGTTAGCTGTGATAGTCTGGATGATGTAAGAAAAAGTTTTTCTATTCCTGCACATGTCCTTTGTCAATGAATTGAAATTAAATCCTTTCTGTGGTAATAACTGACCCAAGGTTACAAAAATCTTGTTTTAATTCTCATAAAAAGAACTTTTTCTATAGTTTCCATAGTTTTTTGTAGATAACCATATTTATGCCCCCCGCCGAAGTGGAGGGGGCATTAAGTTTTACCCTTGTCCGTCTGTACGTCCGTACATCCGTTCGTACGTCCCAAAGTTGGTTTCCATACTCTAACTTTAGTTTGCCTCAACCAAATGTCATGAAACTTATACTCAATGCTTATTACCATACAATACAGGTCAAGTTTGAATTTTGGTGGTGTCACTTTTACCGTAGTAGAGTTATGTCTGTTTGCAAATGGAAAAACTGATGAATTTTTTTGTTTCTGTTCTGTAACTTTAGTTTGCCTCAACCAAATGTTATGAACAATACTTATTACCACAAAACTCAGATCAAGTACAAATTTGGGTAGCGTCACTTTTACTGTTCTTCAGTTATGTCCCTTTATAACTTTATATGATATGCAAGCGGGGGCATCATCTGTGTCCCATGGACACATTCCCCATTTTTCTTTTAAATTGTTTACTGATTGATTAGTTTTGATGGAATCAAACATTGATATTATATATTATATGCTTCATTATGCCTGATAGATATATGGTAAAATTATATGAAATTATAATGGATTTAGGTATTTGTTTACTTTACACAATTATAGTCTTTTCATAAATGAAAAAAAATTCTGATAAGAAGTAAGAAAATGGACAGGATTTGTTTTTAGACCTTTAAACATATGCAAATTATTATAGGAGATATGGTATGATTGCCACTAAGACAACTAAGAGTCCTAATGCCATGGATGTAGACAACTGTGTGAAAATATATCAAATGTATAAGGTTAAAAAGCATTCTGCCATAGTAAAATGGTTTTAATGTGATTCATAATTTAATTTTAAATTACTTTACAGAGGAAAATAGACGAACTTGAAAGTATGCGACAGGACAGACAGAAAAAGTTACACATGAGACAGATTGTTGTCAAGGGAATCTTGGAGAGTGAAAAGACATATTTACAGATATTACAAGAAATAACCACAGTAGGTTTAGTAATTCAGGAGAGTTTTTATTCACAATCATAATTTAAACAAACAAACCAACAGGATTCTCTGGCTGCGTTGAAGACCCATTGGTGACCTTGGGCTGTTTTCTGCCCTTTGGTCAGGTTGTTGTCTCTTTGACACATTCCTTATTTCCATTCTCTATTCTACTTAAAAGCTCCAATGAAATGATTAAAAAAAAAACATAGCATGATACAAATGCTGTATTGATTGATAAATATAACTTTAGGTTGTTATATGTTTATGTTCACAAATGTCTGTGAATGAAATGACTTAAGGGTATACAATTAGTAAGACAACAACCCAGCTACAAAATAAAGTTAAAAATACAATTATTGGTCGACAATAGACAAGAGTATATACAATATAAGAAGCACAGAAGTTAACTTTCAGTGTGAGGATTAATGACTCACAGATCAGATCTTTTTCAGCTTTGACACAAGTTAAAGTTGTCAAAACTGAAAAAGATCTGATCTGTCAGTCATTAATCCACATACTGAAAGTAAACTTCTGTGCTTCAAGGAATAAAGAGTTTTGTTTGTGACAAGTTTTTATCTAATGTCACAGAACATGCAGTTTTTTTTAGCAGCAAATGAGCCAAAACAATATTAAATCAATTGTTATGATTTTGGTATTTCAAAATATCAAACAGTGAATTTTATAGTGGTATAGGGATTATTTTCTACTTTGATTTTGCAGGAAATGATACAGTATTATAAATAGTTATTTATTTATGGAGTTCATTGACATTTGTTTTGTTTGAACCATCAACAAAGATTCACCTGTAGTCAATGAACTCTGGCAATAGTTCAAGTTTGATGGACAAAGACAGCTGTTGTCCAAGAATAATCTACTCTTTGTTTTCTATATTGAAAAACAGCAATCTGAAAACAAACACAAATGAAATAAAATATTGTAAATTCTTTATTATTTGTTTGATATAATGTCATATAGACTTGTATGCAGAATGTGCTAACCCCCCCCCCCCCCCCCCCCCCAAAAAAAAAAGAGAAACAAACTACCCCAATCTTCAAAACATGGTGTAAAAAATGAATCAATGATACAACAGAATAACTGAAAAATATACCCCCTTTAAAAACTACCTCAATCTACAAAACCTGGTATAAAAAATGAATCAATCAATGATTAAACATAACAACTGCAAAATAAATAATTACATTATCAAACATAATTATAATGATAATCTATATGTAGAAATGATACTCCATTTCAGATTAAACGAAATCTACAAACCAAAAGTTTACAGGAACACTGTAGGATGTGTCCGTTAGAAGATTTATCTACGATATTTTATAAAGTCGAGGAAATCAAACAATATCATCAAACATTTGTACAGAGTTTGCAGGAAAAAGTCAACAACTGGTCAGATGAACAAAAAATTGGAGAAATTTTTAAAGAACTGGTAAGATTTTGGGTAGATGTTCCAGATCTTTTCTGATTTATCATAATGACAGAAGATGCATCATGATTTGAAAGGCCTCAAAATCTTGTTTTTAATTGTGTTTGCAAGGCCATAGAAATTGTCTTTAATTTTGACAATTTTAATAACTGATTTTCTAATAATTTTATGGTGTTTATACTAATCAATATCTGCAGGTATTGTATAGAAATATTTTGAATTATCTCCCTTTAATGATACTATGAGGCTTTGTTGATTGATTGTTGGTAGTTAAACTTCCAGTGAGGAATTTTTCATGCACATTCAGATGAAATTCTGAATGAATATAAAATGTTCATATATAAAAATGATTACATTATCATGCTCAAAAGTAATCAAAATTCAAATTTATGTGAACGGAGTAGCCAATGTGTTAGGGTAATTCCACTTAAATTCAATATTTTGCTGGATTGATGAAAGATTTTAATACTAATAATCTACTGTTCCCTGCAGTCTGTTATAGAATATTAAAAAATCGTTTATTATATATATTACAGTAAAATTTGTAGTATTGAATACAATTTTGTCATATTTTTCAGACATTTTATATCCCTATTTACAAAGAATATGTAGACAATATAAATAAAGCACGAGATTTAGTCCAGAAATACTGCACAGAAAATGCTGAATTTAAACGGATGGTTTCTACAATGGTAAGTGTATATGATGTTCATTAGGTCAAATTCACATAAAAGTTTTTGTGAAAGGGTATTGAAGATTTCAAGATATAGGTAAATCCTTCATAGGTAGGCTTTATGAAAAAGAAGGTGTGTTTTACGTGTCAATCAGACAGTATACAAATAACTAGATTTACAAAATAAAAACTTTGAGAGGTGTAACAACTCATCATTTTCATATTTACTATACATAGTGCCATTTAAATTTTACTATGAAAAAAAAGGAGATTTGGTTTAAATTGCAAATGAGACAACTATCCACCAGAGTTAAAATGGTGTGTATATAAGCAATTATAGGTCACCGTACGGACTGTTGACAATGAGAAAAACCCATACCATGTTTTCAGCTATAAAAGGTACCTGAAACAGTTTAATTTTCATCAAAACAAGCAAATGCTGTCATACTTTTATTCTGTGTTTTTTGTAAAATGAAATTTTTTATGTCTATTTTGCACTTAACTAATTTTATTTTGTTTGTAGGAAATAAATATGACAAACGGCTTCATAGAAAAGACAAATTTAGAAGGTAAATACTCAATATTCATCGTTTGATTCTTAGATGCCTTGCATTGGCTCTTTCAAAAATCGTCTTGAATTTGCATGAAATAATTGCCACTGAACATTAAGCAAGCAACAATCAATTTTTTTTTAATTCAACTCTTAACAAACAGTTATCGTCTAGGGATAGACGATACCTAGGGAAAGTAGATTGTCAAAATAAATTCCTCCTGAGGAAATTTACAAAGTTAGATTACTAGAATAGATATTGAATAAGATCACTTTTGCAAGTATAAGAATGTTTCCAAAGTGGAAAACAAATGTTGAGAAATAAAGATTCCAAAGTGGAAAACACTGAACAAAAAGGCCAAATCAAAATGCTTTAAATAGTGTTCATAAATAGAATTAGTTGTTGTATACAATTGCAATATTTATTTGTAAAATCTTGTGCAGTACAAATATACTAAGTGGAAAATTGGAGGCAAAGTCATCAGCAGTCAATGATGCAAATTACATTTGATATTTCCCCATTATGTATGTAATATGTTTGAGATTATTATATTTTTACAGAAGCCTTATTTAAACCAGTACAGAGGTTACAGAGAAATACTCTAGTTTTACATGTAAGTTGTTCATATAATGGCTTATGCTTTAGATTTGTGTAATGAGTGTAAAAAGTGAAATAAAAGTAGGTGAATACTGTTGATTCATTATCATTCATGTTATACCATTATAGTGGATTTCATGGATACAGGTCAACCACTTATTTGCACATAAATTTTTTTTTAATTTCTTTACATTAAAGTACATGTAACGGTAATGCAAAATAATTGGACCGCATTAGAAAAACATTCTGTGATTCAAGTCATATGGTTGATTACAATTTTCCAGGATTTACTAATGCACACTCCACATGACCATCCAGATTACCAGATGTTGAACAAAGCCTTGTCTCTGGCCGACCTAAACATTAAATCGTTTGGTGAAGAGGGGGATGGTGGAACCTCAAGTTCTACAGGAAAGGTAAATTATTGTTTTACATGTGACATATATGTTTATGATAGGAATATGGTCATTCCTCATTATCTATGATCATTAGCAAACAGCCTTAGTCACTACAAATGTTGAGAAATTAAGATTCAAATTAAAGGCTGCTCATGTCTTGGAGTATTCAACAAAAATTATCCTGCTGTTAAACACTGATTATTGTAACACAAAACAAACATAAAAGTCAAGATTTAAGAGATATCATTTGTATGTTGAAAAATAAAAACTATACTTTATAAATTTCATGCGTCTAAAGCGTTTTTCTGGATTTACCTTCATAAGGAATGCTCAAAGCCAAATATTTAAAAGAACCGAAACAGTTGAAGAGCTATATTGAAATAAGAAATAAGTGTTTTTATAGAAACATTCATATTAATTTATTATTTGTAGCCAAAGGAACAAGGTCATCTTGTAAAAAGTGGCTTTGTGATAGAAGTGATTGGTAACAGTAGAAAGTTACGGTTCTTGTTTCTGTATAGTGATATCATTGTGTGTACCAAACATAAGGTATCAGGAAGGTAAGTTGGTCTGTAAAATTACTTCTTTCTCTTATTTCTTATATATTTGAAATGGTTTTGACCAGTTCGATAAATTTTGCAAAACCATACATTGATTAAATTTGTCTTGTGTAATTTCCTGCCTCCCTACTAGATTTGGAATCATTTAATTTAAATCTTATTATAACTAGGCTTAAATTAATCCATGTGATATGGGATAAATATTTTTATCTTAGGTTCCAGTAAAGTATTTCACTTTTGAATTGTTTGAAAAATTTATACAATACACTTACTTTTTACAATGTAATTATGTATGTATTCTTTTTACAATGTAATATTGTATGTGTACTTTTACAATGTAATATTGTCTGTATACTTTTTACAATGTAATTTTACTATGTAATATTGTATGTTTAATTTTTGCAATATAATATTGTATATAGACTTTTTACAATCTAATACTCTATATCACCAAAGTGGATGTTAGCAATTATAGGCAACCGTTCAGCCTTTAACATTTAGAAAATCCCATACCATATGGTCGGCTATAAAAGACCTGACATGAAAGATATGGAACAATTCAATTGAAAAAACTAACGGCTTAATTTATAACAAAACAATTTACGAAAAATAAATATGACCGACTTGAACCAACGACAACCACTGAACTACAGGCTCCTGACTTGGGACATGCACATAAAGAATGTTGCGGGGTTTTACATATTTGTGAGCGCTCAACCCTCTCCCTAACCTGGGACAGTGGTGTTACAGCAAAACATAAGAACAAACTATAAAAATTAGTTAAAAAGGCTAAACTCATCAGATGGATACAAATAGAAATACATCTAACAAAAACACAGAGTGGACATGTTTACTTTTTATAATGTATTATTGTATGCTTTCTTTTAACAATGTAATATTTTATGTATACTTTTTACAATGTAATATTGTATGTATACTTTTTACAATGTAAAATTTTATGTATACTTTTTACAATGTAATATTTTATGTATACTTTTTACAATGTAATATTTTATGTATACTTTTAACAATGTAATATTGTATGTATACTTTTTACAATGTAATATTATATGTATACTTTTTACAATGTAATATTGTATGTATACTTTTTACAATGTAATATTTTATGTATACTTTAATAAATGTTATATTGTATATACTTACAGACATAAATTGAAAAGTTTTGACTGTAAATGGTTCATCCCTATATCAAATATTAATGTAGAAGCCAAGTCTACCGACAGTAAAACTTATTCTTGTAAAGAAGATATTGATGCCATGAAAAAAAGAATTGTTAGTTTGAAATCCGAGTTAAGAAAAGAAGTCAGGAAAAAAACAGAGAGTTTTCGAGATGTAAGTGTAATCAGAAAATATTAAGTCTATTAACAACATTTCAGCTTATGATATGATAAATGTTAATTGTGTAGGCATCTTAGTATCAGGACAGCTTATGATATGATAAATGTAATTGTGTAGGCATCTTAGTATCAGGACAGCTTATGATATGATAAATGTAATTGTGTAGGCATCTTAGTATCAGGACAGCTTATGATATGATAAATGTAATTGTGTAGGCATCTTAGTATCAGGACAGCTTATGAAATGATAGATGTAATTGTGTAGGTATCTTAGTATCAGGACAGCTTATGATATGATAAATGTAATTGTGTAGGCATCTTAGTATCAGGACAGCTTATGATATGATAGATGTAATTGTGTAGGCATCTTAGTATCAGGACAGCTTATGATATGATAAATGTAATTGTGTAGGTATCTTAGTATCAGGACAGCTTATGATATGATAAATGTAATTGTGTAGGCATCTAAGTATCAGGACAGCTTATGATAGGATAAATGTAATTGTGTAGGCATCTTAGTATCAGGACAGCTTATGATAGGATAAATGTAATTGTGTAGGCATCTTAGTATAAGGACAGCTTATGGTATGATAAATGTAATTGTGTAGGCATCTTAGTATCAGGACAGCTTATGATATGATAAATGTAATTGTGTAGGCATCTTAGTATCAGGACAGCTTATGATATGATAAATGTAATTGTGTAGGCATCTTAGTATCAGGAGTGATAAATGTAATTGTGTAGGCATCTTAGTATCAGGACAGCTTATGATATGATAAATGTAATTGTGTAGGCATCTTAGTATCAGGACAGCTTATGATATGATAAATGTTAATTGTGTAGGCATCTTAGTATCAGGACAGCTTATGATATGATAAATGTAATTGTGTAGGCATCTTAGTATCAGGAGTGATAAATGTAATTGTGTAGGCATCTTAGTATCAGGACAGCTTATGATAAGATAAATGTAATTGTGTAGGCATCTTAGTATCAGGACAGCTTATGATATGATAAATGTTAATTGTGTAGGCATCTTAGTATCAGGACAGCTTTAGGCATCTTAGTATCAGGACAGCTTATGATGTGATAAATGTAATTGTGTAGGCATCTTAGTATCAGGACAGCTTTAGGCATCTTATGATGTGATAAATGTAATTGTGTAGGTATCTTAGTATCAAGACAGCTTTAGGCATCTTAGTATCAGGACATCTTATGATGTGATAAATGTTAATTGTGTAGGCATCTTAGTATCAGGACAGCTCATGATATGATAAATGTAATTGTGTAGGCATCTTAGTATCAGGACAGCTTATGATATGATAAATGTAATTGTGTAGGCTTCTTAGTATCAGGACATCTTATGATATGATAAATGTAATTGTGTAGGCTTCTTAGTATCAGGACAGCTTATGATATGATAAATGTTAATTGTGTAGGCATCTTAGTATCAGGACAGCTTATGATATGATAAATGTAATTGTGTAGGCATCTTAGTATCAGGAAAGCTTATGATATGATAGATGTAATTGTGTAGGCATCTTAGTATCAGGACAGCTTATGGTATGATAAATGTAATTGTGTAGGCATCTTAGTATCAGGACAGCTTATGATATGATAAATGTAATTGTGTAGGCATCTTAGTATCAGGACAGCTTATGATATGATAAATGTAATTGTGTAAGCATCTTAGTATCAGGAGTGATAAATGTAATTGTGTAGGCATCTTAGTATCAGGAGTGATAAATGTAATTATGTAGTCATCTTAGTATCAGGACAGCTTATGATATGATAAATGTAATTGTGTAGGCATCTTAGTATCAGGACAGCTTATGATATGATAAATGTTAATTGTGTAGGCATCTTAGTATCAGGACAGCTTTAGGCATCTTAGTATCAGGACAGCTTATGATGTGATAAATGTAATTGTGTAGGCATCTTAGTATCAGGACAGCTTTAGGCATCTTAGTATCAGGACATCTTATGATGTGATAAATGTAATTGTGTAGGCTTCTTAGTATCAGGACAGCTTATGATGTGATAAATGTAATTGTGTAGGCATCTTAGTATCAAGACAGCTTTAGGCATCTTAGTATCAGGACATCTTATGATATGATAAATGTAATTGTGTAGGCTTCTTAGTATCAGGACAGCTTATGATGTGATAAATGTAATTGTGTAGGCTTCTTAGTATCAGGACAGCTTATGGTATGACAAATGTTAATTGTGTAGGCATCTTAGTATCAGGACAGCTTATGATATGATAAATGTAATTGTGTAGGCTTCTTAGTATCAGGACAGCTTATGATGTGATAAATGTAATTGTGTAGGCATCTTAGTATCAGGACAGCTTATGATATGATAAATGTTAATTGTGTAGGCATCTTAGTATCAGGACAGCTTATGATATGATAAATGTAATTGTGTAGGCTTCTTAGTATCAGGACAGCTTATGATATGATAAATGTTAATTGTGTAGGCATCTTAGTATCAGGACAGCTTATGATAGGATAAATGTAATTGTGTAGGCATCTTAGTATCAGGACATCGTTGTCTTGATTTCAGGACATTATCTTTTGGATATTAAATTTCAAAACCTTGGTGAAGAAAAATCTAAAATGTTTTAAAATCTTAATTTTAATTGTTTTAAATTTTAATTTTGAATGTTTTTAAAAACAATTTTATAGTTAAATAAATTCATGCACACGTTTCTGAAACATTTGCTGGTTAATGTATTGTTCATATTGTTGTAAATGTATTTAGAACAAAAATGCAGGTTAATGGTCAAATGGGCCTCTTCTTTTTAGGCAAATATTTAAAATGTCAGATTGTCATTGGAATATTATATTTGCACAATGCACAAACATTTCATACTTGACTACTAAAATAGTAGTAGTAGATATAAATAATATATAAAAAAAATGTTAAAGAATATTTTGTTGGGTTTTTTTTTTTACCTTCTTTTTTTACTTTAATGTGAAATGATATTTTCTATTAAAGAGAACATGGTCAATAGCTGGAAAAGTATCATCAAGAAATATGGAAAAATTAAAAAAGAAAATAGAAGAACAGGTAATTATTGTATTTCTACAAAGTTTTCCTGTTTCTTTTTAAAAAGAAATAAAATGATTTCTGTAGTATGGAAAGTTTATTATATGTCCCCTTTCTCTAAAGGCATGCAAAACTGTGAAACTGAAACATTTCAAGATAAAATCTCTTTCAATGAGAGGGGTGGAAGGTCCTTTTTCGTGACATCAGGATTGGGCCTTTATTTTTGCGGGAATTCAGAATTGGGCTCTTATGTTGCCTGGAATTCAGATTTAAATCTATCAAGACTCAGGGATTTATAACAAATTTTCGGGATCTGGGAAAAAAAGATTTATTTTTGTAGGAATTTGGGATGATACTTTACACTTAATTTTATGTTGAAAATTGCACTAATCTTATGATCACAGATATGACAATATATTTATTTTTGATTGTTAGGAAGCTCAGTTAGTTTTGTTGTCACCACACTTGCCATTACACATCCAGACGAGGGATGAAGATTCAAAGGATTATATCATATTGATATCTACAGACTTTGAACGTGAGGAATGGAGGGACGCTATACTCAGTCAACAGAGGCATCCTCATGGCAGTAAGTTTTTACAAAATAGATTGTTTATTCTTCTGGGTTTTTGGCTTGTTAAATTTGAAATCATTCTTACAGTTGGTAAAAAAGGATATTTGTGTACAAAATATTAGTCAACAGATAGGATTTTTATTAAAAAGTACATTTGCTCAGTAAGTGTAAGAAATGAAACAATTAGCTGACTATACAGTATGGTTTTTTTTCCTTGTTGAAGGCCATACAGTGACCTTGAAAGCTTTAATTGTTTATACCATAATCATTTTAACTCTGGTGAATAGTTGTCTCATTAGCAATCATACCACATTTCTTTATTTTTATAGAGTTGTTAGAAACTTACAAAACTTATTATAAGTTATAAACCATTTAAAATAAGGGCATTATAGTTGTTCCATGAAAAAAGTTTAAAGAAAAAAAAATACACCTTTTACATTCTCAAGTCTTTGGTAAATAGTTGTGTCTTACATGTATACAACTTCCAATTATTTGTTTATCATTGGAAAGTTAAATCTGGTATCAAATTAACTTCTGTTGCTTTTATTATGAGTTTTGTAATCAGTATTCTATATTTCTTTTATAATAGTGGGTTTAGGCAGAGAATTGTGAGTTTTGTAATAAGTATCCTATATTTCTTTTATTAATAGTGGGTTTAACCAGAGAACTTAGTGTCCATGGAATACAGACAATGGTCAATAAAAGTACACAGGTAATTATTGTAATAGTCCCGCATTTATATTTTTTCATTTTTTTTTTCTACTATAATCTCCTTATATAGAGATCATTATTTATGAATTGATATTAAAATGTTGATCCAGGGAGGAACTGTTGTAACATTAATGACATGAATAGGAAATGTACCAAGCTTAAGGACAAAATAAAAATTCACCAAGGTTAGGCTTAACCAAATCTGTACATGAATGAATTTATCTTGAATAGTAGTGTGAGTTGTTTTTATAGTTAAAAAAGTTAATTTTAGTGTAATTAAAAGATAGTAGATTGATAGACAATATCATATTTAATTATGAACTTTTATAAATGTACCACCAATCCATCACATTTTTCTCAGAAACTAAGCATCAGAGCTTCTTGAAACTTTGAATCATAATTCATCTGAGCATGCTTATCAGTGTGATTGGTTTTTCCATCCATTGCTTATTTTTCTTACACATAATACCAATGTATGAATTTTCTTAGGACCTACGAATCTGAGTTTCCTGATATTATAAAAAGTTAAATCACAAAAATACTGAACTTCAAGGAAAATCCAAAAGGAAAGTCCCTAATCAAATGGCAAAATCAAAAGCACAAACACATCAAACAAATGGACAACTGTCATATTCCTGACTTGGTACAGGCATTTTCTTATGTAGAAAAATGGTTGATTGAACCTGGTTTTAGGTGTAATACCACCAAATCATAGTACGTCACATCCGGTTGCATACGAAAATAGGTCGAAAAAAAATATTCCCTTGAATTTGACAGTTGTAGGTAATTGATCCTACATTTCATTGCAGTAAAACATTTCTGAGTCATAAACATATATCTTGGGTATTTCAAAGCACCATCATTTCTTTATTTGGAGTTTCTATAGAATATTTTGGAAACTTGAGGTTACATGGTTACTAAAGCTTGTACACAGGTTAAAAAAGGGGGAAAATTTGATTGGTTAACTTCCAGTGATGGTTATTTTCTTATATGCAATGAAATGTCATGTGAAATTTTTTCTATAGTACTGGACAGGATAAATCTTTACTCATGCCAAGTATTTCTTTATTTGAAACAAAGATAAATTCTGCACAATTTTTTGAAAAGTGCAAATTTAACAAAGACTAATAGGGGAAAATCAATGGTGGTATTACACCTATTATGGGAAGCTGTACATGCACCTTTGACCTTGTGAGTACTCTCATGTGTTAAAATTTCTTGCTATTTAAGTGAAATATTACAAATAATGAAATATTCTGAGTGGATTGAGTCTCCAAAATACATTTTATGAGAAAATTTCCTTGAAATAGGACTTTACCATGAATATTAGTTGACAGAACAAGCCATACTTAGAGTTTTGGGGAGCTTTTTCTCCTTATTTCTTATATTCTGCTATACTAGAAAATTTTTCCTAAGAAATACTTTAATAAATATATAGTTTTAAGTAAATGAAATTATTTTTAAAGCAGTAACAGCAAATTATTCACCAAAAAAGAAGTTTTTTATGTCCCTCTCTGGAACGCGGCGTAAATTTAAGTTTTACGTAAGGACTTATTGAAACCTCCTTGGAGACAGTAAACTTTTATACGGATAGTTCATTCAGCTTGAATACTTCAACTAATCATTTATAATAACATTTCTATCATAAATGAGTGAAAATTACCCCAAAATTTTTTTTTATTGGCCTAAAAAGTAGAAATTTTGAGGAAATGAGAGGTATAAATGGACCAAAAGAGACCTTATTAGGAAGACAAAGAGGTCCATTGGTAGTATTTATCATCCTAAAGTCATCTTTTGTATCATATTCAACTGTTTGTAGGCAGATGAGATAAATATTTGATCATTTATTGGTCCACACTATATTCTATCATGATGTGGCTTGGTTTGGATTTTTCGAAGAAATTTTGCTCGAATCGCTGTAGATGTCGTCTTACATTATACTAAATTTTTCTCAAACTATTGAACTGATTATGACAAAACTTGACAGGAATGCTTGAAATAACCAGTATTACAAAGGAAAAAAGTCACATTCAGTTTATTTAACAAAAAAGTCTTCTTTAGGTGTAATACCACCAAATCATAGTACGTCACATCCGGTTGCATACGAAAATAGGTCGAAAAAAAATATTCCCTTGAATTTGACAGTTGTAGGTAATTGATCCTACATTTCATTGCAGTAAAACATTTCTGAGTCATAAACATATATCTTGGGTATTTCAAAGCACCATCATTTCTTTATTTGGAGTTTCTATAGAATATTTTGGAAACTTGAGGTTACATGGTTACTAAAGCTTGTACACAGGTTAAAAAAGGGGGAAAATTTGATTGGTTAACTTCCAGTGATGGTTATTTTCTTATATGCAATGAAATGTCATGTGAAATTTTTTCTATAGTACTGGACAGGATAAATCTTTACTCATGCCAAGTATTTCTTTATTTGAAACAAAGATAAATTCTGCACAATTTTTTGAAAAGTGCAAATTTAACAAAGACTAATAGGGGAAAATCAATGGTGGTATTACACCTTTATAGCTAGCTAAACCTCTCACTTATCTGTTTACACATTTATTGCTCATCAACTTCCTGTTTACCCACTTATACCAGGTATATTAGTATGGAGCAATAACTCACAGTACATCTTGTAATTTCTGTTTTGATTTGAAGAATTAACAGCAACATGCTATTGGTAATATTATCCTGTCTTTCTTTCAGTTACCTCAGGTGAATAACATAGGAAATTTCCTGAGTAAAAATGGTAAGTTACATTGTGTAGATTTCAGGTTTAGTTCTTGTTGAGCTGTTAACCAATAAAATTCAATTTGTTACACATTTTATATAAACTTTTGAAAATTTGAAAATTATTTTGTGTTTCATAACTTTTTAAGTACTTTTGAAATTTAGAATTTCTTTTAGGACATTTTATATAAACGTGACAAAAGTTTTAATCATATGAAAATTAACTTTTTTGCACATTTTCAAAGATGATTTTGCATTTCAGAACTTTTAAGTTCATGAAGTAAAAATAGTACTTCTTTTAGGACATTCAATATAAACTTGAACCAAATTTACAAAACTGTTTTTGTTTTTCAGATGAGGAAATGCTGAGTGGTTTATTAAATGTAACAATACACTGTCTTTATGGTTTAGATCAACCATCAGGTAAATATAGTCTTTATAGTCTTCCAGATTTTGTTTTGTCTGTTTTATTTTGTTCTTCATTACACATTATATCCATTCACTCTAACTCTAAAAGGCAACAAAAGTCAACAAACTGATTTATTTCCATTGTGTTAATCTTATAGTCTACTGTTTCCTTAAATTCTAATGACAAAATCCACAGAATTTAAATGAAATATACACCAGCAGTACTTTATAATAAATACTTTTCAATTGTTTGTGAAGACATTTTTGTAGTCAGTTACATCCTTAAGATGAAAAAAATATTTACCACAGCATTTGAAAGAAATAGTATTCTAGGTCAGAAAATCTTAATGACCTTGACAGTCTCAGCAACCTCTTAAATGGCATCTTGACCAATCAGAACATCCAAAACATTAACATTCCCATAATGCAGCACTACATCTGAATTGGTCCATTACAGTCAAACCATGATGTCTTTTACACAGAATTTTCATAACTTTTTGTCAATGATCGTTATTTGTTTTTGTAGATGTGTTTGCTGTACTTGAGCTGGACTCCTATGGTCATTTCTTCAAGAAAGCTCAAACACATAAATGTTTAAACACAACAGATCCTACCTGGGATGAAGATTTCGAGCTGGAACTTGATGGCTCACAAACATTACGGGTGTTATGTTATAAAGTTGCAAGTCCCAATAATGTATTGATTGGTCGAAGTGCTCTGGAGGTGAGTTCTAAGGAGGTTTAAATTTAATGGGCACTATGTTAACATATTTTATCTGCTACATTTCAAGGATTTTGAAGTAATATATATGCAGGAGAAAATTCCTGATATATTTTAGACAAAAGTAAAATATGTATGTCAAAGAATTTGTTTGAGATTTGAAACACTGAAGCAGAAATATTAGACATTGCATGCTTTCAGGACAGTGTTTAAAAAAAAACCAAAAATAATGCAAATTTTAAAAGAAATAATATAGATGAAATAATCAGTTATAAATGCGACAATTCTAAAGTGTAAAATATAATTATACAAATTAAAAGTATCTGAATGTAATTTCATTAAGATGTTAGACCATTGACCAAACACACAACTTAAAATGCTTTTACACATCATACACAGTGCTTTTTACACCTCTATGAAACAACACATTTTTAATATCATCTGATGCATTTTATTTTGATTTCCTTTTCAGTTGAGTAAAGAATGGTTAAGTAGTAGTTTTAAAGAACAAAAGATTTCTATGAATGAGGTATATATACTTAAGTTTATGGTACTGAGATTATTACTGTTTGTTTTGTAAGCAGTGTAATGTCAAAATAATTTTTTACTAATAGTAAATGCTGAAAATAAGCATAAATCATATATTTGTTCTTATCAAATTTAAAGTATGATATGAATAAGCGAAATGGTTTTCAAATGTAAGTAAAAGATTTTTCGTCATCATAGATTTTAGATACGATATACTGTAAATTCAGAAATTTTTGCAATGTTTTTATTATTATGAAAATTGAGACAGGGTAAGTATCGCAACAATAAAAAATCACATTTTAAATTTGGTAGCATTTTTGTATGCCTTATTTTCTAAAATCAGAATAATTTATCTTGCATTTTTGTCTATTGTTAAAGAATCATAATAATAAAGGCATGCAAAAATTTCATAATTTACAATATGTTAGATATGTATGATTTTATATTGTTCCTTCACCTTCATTATAGATATCATTAACCATATCAGTGAGACACACCACTACAGCCAAAACTCTAAAGAGAACACCATCTAAACTACATGGTGGAATATTTGGATTTAAGATCAAATCTGTTACCATGTAAGTTTAATAGCATACAACAATGCTATTTCCTCCTCTTGCCAAATGCTTGATGTGTAAGAGTTGTCCTTCTTAGTCGGGCTAATATGCCAACTTCTTATCGTTATGGTGAAATCATGTATTTTTAGTATTCTGGAAGCTTAATTATTGTGGTAAAAAACAGGGAAAAAAACAATCATAAAATACATGTAATTTTTAAGTTTCAGGAACTTTGATTGTTGAAACAAAAATTGAAAAAATGTCAAAAATTAATATACAAACAATATGAAAATAGAGGGGATGTACTCTGTGGACAAAGCGAAATATTAGAAATCACAGCATTATAACTTTTATCTTTTTAGGAGTAAACATTGTTTCCTTCTCTCATTAATTGTAATGATAATTCACTTAAAGAAAGGAGTTCATAAAATAAATTAGTGAAACTCATGCATACTATAAATATGTAAATTTGGAAGAAGGCGTTTTGAATGTAAGCTGAAATAGCATAGCTATGTACTCCCCAAATTGAAAAAAGGCATCTTATACCTGAATTAATTACACCATAGCAGATTTAAAACAAAATCAAAATGATAATGGTACAAGTTTTAATATCTTTATTATGTATTTTAGGAGAGAAGGAAAGACCATTCCAACTTTCGTTGCATCTTGTATCAGACTTGTAGAACAAAAAGGTTAGTACAATGTTTTGAATTGAGTGAATTGTGATATCAGTTTCAATATTTTTAATAGCTTATCTTGAATAACAAAATATGTATAAAAGTGTGTATGAAATTTAGAACATAATTCAGAAAGAAAATTGTAAAAACCAGGAATATATATAGCATGATCCTGCAGGTTTTTTAAGAGAGAGAAAACGATGTGTGCAATGTGTATTGAAAGTGACATCTTTTTGTTCCTTGTGAAAAAATCTGATTCTGATTATATAGGATGAATATATAAATGCTACTCTTTGAAAATTAGTATATTTACAGGTAAATTTTGATTTTCAAACTTTTTGTAAAAACAGCAGTTATAATATGTTAATCTCAACATTATGTATTATTTACACCCATAGGAATGGATGAAGTCGGAATCTACAGAATATCAGGAGTCACATCAGAAATACAGAGGATTAAAAGGGCTTTCGATAAAAGTAAGTGTAGTTATATAATATCAGGGGTCAGAATTACAGAGAATTAATAGGGCTTTTGATAAAAGTAAGTGTAGTCATACAATATCAGGGGTCAGAAATACAGGGTTTTAAAAGGGCTTTTGATAAAAGTACACATAGTAATACGATATATGATCTGAAACCTTTTGCATCATTTTTTAGACTTTCCTCAATGATTGGACAAAATTACAAGATTTCCCACCTTTACTAAATGTGACAGAGGAAAATGTCATACTGTCATTCATATATATATATATATTTATTTATTTAGTAATAATGTGTGCTTGATGACTAATTTAGAATTGAAATACATAAAATGATTCTTTTATTTCAGACTTGAGAGCTGGATTGAATATTCTAGCCGATGCAGACATACATGCAGTGACAGGTGTCCTTAAGCTATACTTCAGAGAACTACCTGAACCACTCTTTACAGAAGAATCATATCCACAATTTGTAGACTCAATAGGTATGGCATTTATTCAGGTTTTTTCATCAAATATTTTTAAAACATTATAGACTTTGAGTATTCAGTTATTGCACTTTCATCAAAACAAAAGTAGCATTACAATTCATCAAAAATAGGCCAAGATGTTTAACAGAACATGTTCAACTGGAACTACTACTTCATCAAATATAGGACAAGATGACTAACAGAACATGTTCAACTGGAACTACTACTTCATCAAATATAGGACAAGATGACTAACAGAACATGTTCAACTGGAACTACTACTTCATCAAATATAGGACAAGATGACTAACAGAACATGTTCAACTGGAACTACTACTTCATCAAATATAGGCCAAGATGTTTAACAGAACATGTTCAACTGGAACTACTACTTCATCAAATATAGGCCAAGATGTTTAACAGAACATGTTCAACTGGAACTACTACTTCATCAAATATAGGCCAAGATGTTTAACAGAACATGTTCAACTGGAACTACTAATTCATCAAATATAGGGTTTTGTCTTGTTTGATGTATAATGTGAAGACGGACAAGACAAAGGACAAACAAATGACCTCTAAACCATAGGCAGAAAACTTAATACTGAATCCCACAAACCCATCCAAAACAAGGGGAAGGGTATGAAGTGTACCACTAGTATAAACAGTTTTGGCTCCATAATGGAACAAGATTACAGATATTGCATTTGAAAGTTAGGAATCAGATAAATGAACAAAAATTGCCATTTACTAATTTACTTTATATATATGTGGATTTAAAATGGATGGAAATTTCTGATGGATATAGTATTTACCTATCTATTATATACTTACAGCGTTAGCTGATGAGGATTCAAAAGAAAAATGTATGTTACAGTTACTACACAATCTGCCAGACGTCAACTATTATTGTATAGTATCTGTTATAGAGCATCTTGTAAAGTAAGTATATATATATAAATATACACCTACTTCCACATTTTTTCTACTACACAATCTACCAGATCTCAACTATTATTGTATAGTTTCTGTAATAGAGCATCTTGTAAAGTAAGTACATATATAAATATACACCTACTTCCACATTTTTTCTACTACACAATCTACCAGATCTCAACTAGTGTCTAGTGTCTGTAATAGAGCAACTTGTGAAGTAAGTATAGAGACAAATACAAAGTTATTTTCATAGCATAGACTTATCTATGTGGTCCTGTTTTGATTAAAGCTCATCTTTTTGTATTTCCTTTCTCTAATGCTAATCTAAATAATAAAATGTTTAGACAACATTGGGCTTTTGTTTGTTTATTCATTTTTGTTTTATTTATAATTTGCCCTATTGTTTTCCTTTTTTTGTTAATGAATATGATAAAACATCTACTTAAAATTTGCCAGAGGTTATTTATGGTTATTTATATATAAAATTTAACATCTCTTGCAGAGTTAGTAAACATGAGTCCGAAAATAAAATGTCCCTAAATAACCTTGCAACAATATTTGGACCAACATTACTGCATCCTGCTGTGAAGGACGAATCCAAAGTTTCACCAGCTATGATGATGATGCAAGGAGCACAAGATGTCTTTACTCAAGCAGCTGTCTTATACTACTTCCTGAATTTAGTGCATTCTGGGAAAAGTATTAGAAAATCCTCTCAGCTTATCTAAGACAATTGACTTGATTTGACTTTGTATCCATTCCATTATGAATATGTATGATGTTATTATTTTGTTTTCAATTAGCTTGTATTCAGATTTGTTCTAATGTAATTTCATATTCATAAAGTGTTCATACTTTATACCAATTTATATTTATATGAAGATTTGTTTTATTTTTATGGCAACCAAGTTATGGGTTATGGTAAAATTACAAGTGTCAGTGCTTAACTTTAAAAAATGGCTATTAACCATATCAACATTTAATTTGGCCATCTTAGCCCATTACATCTGTAAAGTACAAGTTTATATTTAAGCATAATATATATAAATGTTGGCATCTGAAATGTTTCCTATTACAACTAATGTAAAATCAATGACAAAGAATTAGATAAATTATAAATGAAGAGACTTCATAGATATGATTCCATAGTAATAATTTAAACCTTTCACTGAATTTCAGGAATTTTTAAACTTACAATTTACTTTAAAAGCAAACACTTATAACATTGGTGATCACACACCAGTCAATGTATGCATTTTTTTTTTTACTTTCTATGTTGATTCTGTTAATACAAATAATGAAATTTGATAATTATAAACATTTAATTTTTTAAATGCTGATTGTGTAGATACACATTAGAAACATTTAAATAAAATGGCAGAAAGCTTAAAGTGTGCAATAGTTATATAGATATTCATAAGAACCATATAAATATTCATAGGAACCATATAAATATTCATAGGAACCATGTAAATATTCATAGGAACAATTACAATGGTTTGTTTTGAGTTGACTGAAAACAGGATGTATGGAAGCATTTAAAATAATAAATGCTGATGAAATAATTCTTGTTTAGGTATATCAAGGAAAACATTATGTCTGACTCATTGCTTTATTTGTTCTTTAATATTTTTAAAAGACCTTAACACTGCATTAAGAACAGTGAATACAGAAAACGAAAATATAATTATACATATTCTTCAATGGCTTGTTAATTTAATAAATACCTCAGTCTTTGTTTGTATACAAAATACTTTTTGCATATATTGAAGACCAATTGTTTTATATATGAATGTTTTATTGTTAGGTAGACAGACATACTGTTAATTTGTCATTTAAGAATCTAAAGCATTCTGGGTAATCTTTTCAAATGTTGTAAGCAGTGGACGTTCAGCCAATGATGTAATTATTTTTTCAGTTTGATTTAAGGGTGCGGTACATACATTGAAATTAACCATAATCCTATAGATTCTCAGTTGATGAATTTCAAGTTTGTTGTTGTTTATTTATCTGTTTATATGTGTACAATTATTTGACAAGTTCATGAGCTGGTATCACGTTTAATCCATCATTCCAAAGGTGTTTTCTGGAAGGACCAGCGAGTTACTTTTTGACATGAATATCAGTGCCATGTTTTGAATGCTTAAAGTTAAAATCTGCTCAGTGTATAGTGTATAATATTCTATTCAATATTTTATTGTATTATAGTTTAGTTACAATATTTATTTGTAGGCTTCAATAGAACCAGTTGAAAGATGGCAGATTTTTTCAATTAAACTATTTGAGCAGATTTTTATTCATTGTTGAAACTAGAAACATAACCTCTTTTTGGTTAAATACTAAGTTACTAAAGGAATTAAAAAAAAAGATATCTATTTAGAGTTGTTTTTTTTTTTAAAGTGTCCATGAAACTTTCATTCACAACATTGTTTTCTGTTATAAATTTGTTCATGATATTCCACATCAATATTGATAACCATTTATTAAAAAAATCTTTCAATTTAAAATAATTGGATACAAATTTTGGATATTAGAAATAGAGAATAGTTATTAAGAATCATTTTACGCATGTCAAGAAATGGATATGAGACAATTTTACAGAATCAATATTTATTTACAACTATTTCACTTGTTGATTTGCACATAGTTACATGTTATTTTTGTTGGCTTTACCTTTTTACAATGTTTCCTTTGTTAACATAAATTTTTTGTGTATTATTTATATGTATATATATGTCCTACTCAAATTTTTCAGATAAATAGACAATGATAATGTCATGACGGGAAATTTCAATTAAATCTGTTTAATTGTTATGTTCTTCCCATATAATTTGTTGAAAAGGGTCCTACTTTGTGTATTGGGTAGCTGGTAAATATCTTCTTGAACAAATCATTGTTCCAGACTTCTACCACTCTTAACTATTGCTATTTGAAAGAAGAACTTCGGTGACTGAAAAGGTTTCTGCCAGACACTCAAGATTTCAAATTTTGCATGATACTTGATTGATAAATTATCAAAGTTATATATCTACCACAGGGTCTAAATTTATAATTTTGAATATACCTTAATTTACATATCTTAATTGCTCCCATTTCATCTTTCTTTCCAGTGTGTAAATCTTATAGTAAATATTTGATATTTTAAGGATTTTCTAGTTTAAAAATTATGACCTTATTTAATGTTATGTACAGAAAAATGCCTTTTGAAATCTATTATTCTTCTAAACTTCAGTATGTTTGCACATTACACTGGGTTGCCAATTTGTAGTCTTCAACAGGTGTCATGTAAATATTCAAACACAATTTCCTTCCCAGGTGCTTAATGTTTAACTACCTTTGTCTTTCCTATATTTTATTACATACATGACAATCAGATGTAATTGAAAGCTATAGGTACCAAGGCCATGACCATAATGGCAGTGGAAATTTTTTTAAAGTAGCTTTCCATTATTTTTAATATTTTAAATTTGTCATTCTTGGACAATTCTAAAAATTCAACGAATAATATAACTATTACATTAATAATTTTCTGACTGAGTTAATGCAAATTTTTCAAGGGTTAGAGTTGATGAGATGACATTATTTATCTTAGGAACAACACCTATATTTTTTGAAGATAGATGCATTACATGCATTTTATGTTTGAATGAAAATTTTAACCGAATATTTGTTAAGTGCATTCTGCATAACTGACTTTGTTAGTTCATCATGGTGCTGATGAAAAATGTTACTTTGCATTTTTTCTTATAAATATTGTTCTGTGCTAAAATCAAAATATGTGCAATTTTATTTCTGTAATAAAACCTTGTTTAAATGTTTTTGATTTTGTTTTTATTTATTTTTTTTTTTGGGGGGGGGGGAGGTCGAGGTTATATCCTGTACGATATTTTTAGTCCTTTTAAGCCCTTTGGTATCATAAAAATAAAGTCAAAATGTAAATCAGTATATTGAAGGAAGTTTTGTTGAGAAAACATTGAATGAGAATTATATCATTATAACATCAATTTCCATATATAAATTGATATTTAGCAAACTAGCTAGTAGTTACCAATCTCATGCTTTAAACAAATCAGTTTTTACGATTTTGTTTCTCCATATCTTGAAAACTTAGATAGATACTTAGAAACTTTAAAGGCAAATGTGATCAGCAATTCAAGATTTACATATAATTGACATGGTTGTAAAAGAGGGACGAAAGATACCAGAGGGACAGTCAAACTCATAGATCGAAAACAAACTGACAACGCCATGGCCAAAAATAAAAAGACAAACAGTCAAATAATAGTACAGATGACACAACATAGAAAACTAAAGACTAAGCAACACGAACCCCACCAAAAACTGGGGGTGATCTCAGGTGCTCCGGAAGGGTAAGCAGATCTTGCTCCTCATGTGGCACCCGTCGTGTTGTTTATGTTATTACAAATCCGGTAAATAGTCTAATTCGGTAGGTCACATTCGTGAAAAGAGAAGGGTATTGTAGTTACGACATAAGGAACATATCCGATATCATCTGTGAAATGGTTATTCCATAACGGTTAACCAACTCGTGATGGCGTCCGTACAATTTACGAAGGGATAATATCAACTTCACCATTCGACATCTTTTAGGAGTTATTTCTCTTAAATGATGATTTACCTATTGTTCGTGTTTTGCTCATTATCTTGAAAACTATAATAGATAAAGAAATACTTTATCAGTAAAAATTGTCAGCAGGATTGGATCTACGAACATAGCAGAAATTGTAAGTCAACTCCTTACAGGAGTAATTGACCACCAATCATGATGTTTCACTTTTTTGGTGGGAAACCATAGAAAATAAAGACAAATTTTAAACACAAAAATGATTAGCAAAACGAGATCTACAAAAATATAACATAGATGAGATTATATGTTGACTCCTACTAGGAGGTATTTCCCTTAAATGTTGATGTTTGATCTTTTCAATAATTTGGGTAAAAACTAGAGAAGACAACAGAAACTTAACAGCAGTTTTGATCTGCAAGACAATTTCTACAAATTAGCCAAAAGAATAAATTGTCAGAAAACGTCTTATAGGAGTTATTGCGATTGACTAATGATTTTTATGGCCTTCCAGCAATTGGCATTGATCATTTTTGAAACTATTTTTAGAATAGCTTCGGTGTATTTGGTTATTTTTTAAGGTTCCTTTAGGTCGTAATTCTCTTCGTGTATTCAAGTATTTATACAGCCTTTCAAATATTTGTAGTTAGAGCGTACGTAATGTTTGTAGTTAGAGCGTACCTGATGATGGTAAACCCAGAAAATCTCTTGAGAAAGAGGCGAAAGATACCAAAGGGACATTCGAACTCATAAGATAAAAATAAACTGACAACGATGATGGCTAAAATAGAAAAAGACCAACAGACTAACAATAGTACATAAAACTCAAGATGAATGAAATTTATAAAGTGTTATTAACATCTTGCATTATTGTAAACCCAGAAAAGTCCTAAAGATGAATGAAACTTATAAAGTGTTATTAACATCTTGCATTATTGTAAACCCAGAAAAGCTCTTAAGATGAATAAAATCTATAAAGTGTTGTTTATATCTTGTATTCATTGTAAACCCAGAAAAGCTCTTAAGATGAATGAAACTTATAAAGTGTTATTAACATCTTGCATTCATTGTAAATCCAGAAAAGCTCTTGAGATGAATGCAACTTATAAAGTGTTATTGACATCTTACGATCATTGTAAACCCAGAAAAGCCCTAAAGATGAATGAAAATTATGAGTGTTATTGACATCTTGCGTTCATTGTAAATCTAGAAAAGCTCTTAAGATGCATTTAATTAGGGCCCCGCCGGATGGCGGCCGCCCTATAGTGATCAGTCTGTCTGTCCGCCTGTCCGTCCGTCCGTCCGTCTGTCCGTCCGTCCGGCCATCCGTCCGTAACAAATCGTGTCCGCTCTATATCTAGAGAACCGTTATGATTTCAAAGTTTATACTTGATGTGTATATTAACCAACACCAGAGGGTGTGTCATAATGTATGTACAGCTTCCTAGGTCAAAGGTCAAGGTCAAAAACTGGTTTTAGTTGACAACCCCATGTCCTATGGTAAAGATCGTGTCCGCTCTATATCTTGAGAACCGTTATGATTTCAAAGTTTATACTTGATATGTATATAAACCAACACCAGACGGTGTGTCATAATTTATGTACAACTTCCTAGATCAAAGGTCAAGGTCAAAAACTTTGGTTTCATTTGACAACCCCATGTCCAATGATAAAGATACAAATTTTTTACCACACATTATTCACAGCGGGTCCCACAGAGATGGCTGCCATCTCAATGATATCTAGTTTTTAAAGATTTATTTACATCCTATATACATTGTATGTGACCGAAGATTAGATATATATTTAAAGGGGCACTAGCTACGAGATATATAAAAAATCTAAAATAGGATTTTTTTTGTTCAGTCAATAATGAAAGTGAAATAGTGAAATAATAATTCACTTTTAGCAGCAAGTATGGTTCAATTTCGACAAAATAAGCTAAGAAACATTGAAGATTAATTATTCGCTTGTAAGTGAATAATTCGACCTCATTGAATCCGTATTCATGTGAACTTCAATTTAACCCCTTAGCTAGAGATGGATAACGCATGAATCGTGCGTGATCAGTCATTTAAAGGAAAAGAATGTCAACATTGAAAGTGAAACAAAGGTAAATCATTTGATTGGCTGATTCGATCGACAGAAAATCATTCTTATACAGGTAAAAACGATGATAAACATATATTTTTAATCTATAATATGAAATTAAATAGATCTAGAAAAATCCAATTGCACGAGTTAGTTTAATCTATTTATATCTATATTTATGTTTATATACCTTATATGGCCATCGGTGGTTTTCGGAGGACAACTCGATAGTTAATTAGATGGCGTCTAGACTAAAATACACAAGAAACAAAGCTACATATTATCAAGCCCAGGCCCTGTAAGTTGTTTATTTTAGACTTTTAATAATTTGGATAAATGTTTTACATTGTTATTAATCAAATATGAGAATTTGAGTCAAATCGGTGAACATGAATTTGACAGCTAGTGCCCCTTTAAGGAGCTAGAATATACTTCATCATAGATACCTGGAACCAGAGTTTATACTATTGGGAATTCTTGAAGATAGAACGAGTGAGACTACCTAGAACTAGAAATGACACATTTGGAATTAATGTAGCAAGAATACATCCAAGAGTGGAAAAAGAATATTTCCATGAGTGGAAATATTCGAAACTAGACTATGATCATGTTGGCAGCATTGAGTCAGAATCTAGATCAATGTTGAATACTAGTACTAGTACATATTGCACTGGAGCAAGATTGTGATTCATTTGAAATACCTGGGTATAATATGTTCTAGTGGGAATACATGGATTCAAATGTGATCCATAGGGAACAGGTGAAGCCAGATTAATATGATCAGTTTGAAATTCATGGATTCAGAACGTTATCCTAGAATATGACCATTTGGGAATACAAGGATTAAGAAGGTGATCCAAACACAATAACTAGAGCCAGCTTGTAGGCTACTTGGAATACCCGTCCCTGTGTAGACAATTTTTGCAAATATACAAGCAGCACAAAGGGCATATGATAAAGTTTATTTATTATAGCTCATGCAAATAACAAATGATTAGCATATTTAGATATTAATTAGAAGAATTCAAATCTGTTATTGTATTTGGTGTTCGTTTTTTTTTGCGTAAGTACCAGTAAATGTTTCTTGTCAGAGTTAAGCTGAAGTATAAGCTGATAACATTTAACACGAAATAAGGAATAGTTGTGTTCACTGGCTACCACTAGAAGTAAATGGTGGACAAATTGTCGTGTATTTGTTACATCAAGGAACTGCAATTCCATGGAGTAGCAAATACGCCTCACGACAGAAGACTTAAAACATGAGTAGTGATGATAACATAATTCACTGACAAACTATAAACAGTATAAAATTTCAAAATATGTTTACTGTTGACAACAAAATTCAGTTGACATGTAGTACAAACTAAATTATAGAAAACTTTATAAGACGTCTATTGTTGTCACTTGCTATTTTTGATAAAATCAGCAGCTCTTTCGGCTATCATCATTGTCGGACCATTGGTGTTGCCCGAAGGGTTATTTCTCATTACTGATGCATCGGCTACTCTCAGACTCTTTATACCTTTAACCCTAAAAATACAAAGTAAGTGATTTTCTGCATAAACAAGATAAAATATGAATAAAGAAAAAATCTATAAATGTTAAATATTAAATTTGTCACTTACCTTTATGAATAAGTCAGTGGTCATTTTGCCGGCTCCGGCAAAATAGCCTTTAAGTTGCCATTTTCCGTCTCCGGCAAATAAGCCTTTTATGAGCTATTTTACCGGCTCTCTTACCGGACCCGGCAAAATAGCGCTACGGAGGCTATTTTGCCGGAGCTGGTAAAATAGCAACTTAGAGACTATTTTTGACACTATATAAGTTTAACAATCACCACCACGAATTGATTGGCCTACACAAGCCAGTGTCTGTGTCTAGACTCACTATTGACATGTTTTCGCGGTCTTAGATCTTAAGATGACATTATATAGTCTTCCGATCTGTTAACTATCTATTTCTGCTTGTAACATTTCGACTGAGAGTGGATTCGTATGGAGGGGTGCATTCATAGCAGAAAACGTCTACTCACGTAAGCATCCGGTCTCGCTCCTTTTGCAATCCCCTCAATTTGTGTTTTTCCTTAATATGTATTTTTTTAATAGATTTATGAGATTCGAAAAGATAGTTTAATTTCCCTTGAATATTCTGAAATATGGTATGAGCTATAAGTAAGGGTGTGAAAAAGAGATTTAGTTGAAAGTTTTGAAATAGAATAATAAGAAACATCTGAAATCAGACAGAAGAATGCAATATCAGAAATATTTCATGGTTAAACCAAAACAAAAACAGACCGATGATTGTGAAAAACATTTACTATTTAAATAGTGTAGCAGAAACGTTTGTTGGATTTCCATATGCATAAAATAATCCTCATCTTACTAGTGGGATCATCATTTATTACATGAATATCCGTTACATAGATTTATTTTTTAATATTTTAAATGTTGTTTTCATTTATTAGAAGTGGGTCGTCACCCCGATGGTATCGCCAGCTTAGTAGTTTGTGGTTCGGTACAGATATGATCTTTAACATTGATATTTTTAAACTCTGTTGATAAATTAAGGAATTAAGAAGAAACATAGTTTACAACTATCTCCATCTTTGGCTTTCTCGTGTTTGGGTTTTAAAGTTCTGATGAAGGTAAATCAAGAAAAGTGCCGTGGACGCACCAAATTAATTATTAGTAAGTCTTTGTATTCACTAGTACTGGGTCGATAACACTGCTGGTGGCTGTAAGTTGACGATGGCTTCTTGAGCTCAGTAATCAGAGCTTTGGTTCTGACACGATTTATATCTTTTTTTTCTAAAATTCCCCGCTGATAAATTAAGACATGAGTACTAAGGTTTCAGCAACACCGTTTTCGTATGTCATCCCATGAATCAGTCTAAAATACTAGTACGTTTGTTTCTAAGACGCTCAGAAATTTGATATTTGAGGTTGTTACAAATCACGAAGGGTTCTATTCTATTGATATTTTATATTTTCTACGTGCATGATGTTATGGACCTATAAGAACCAAAAAACTATATAAAGTGAAAACAGAAACATATTACAGTCCTGCATATAAATATATAAGAAACAAAGTACACATTCATGTACATATACAAGCAAATTATTTCCTTTGAGCAAAATAAAATAAAAAAATAAAAAATGAAAACAACACGTTATAAATTTAATGCGTCCAAATCGCTTTTCTGGATTTACCTGCATCAGGAAAGCTCAAAGTCGAATATTTGAAAGTCAAGGATGTATGAAACCGAAACAGTTGAAGCACCATATAATCAAAAATGACCTAAAATAATAGCCAATTCATTCTTAGGCCAACTAGCCTGAGGGAGTTGAAACCTTAGTAAACTGTACTTGTTTTCTATATTAATAAGAAGATGTGGTATGAGTGCCAATGAGACAACTCTCCATCCAAGTCACATTGTGTAAAAAGTAAACAATTATGGTCAAAGTACGGCCTTAAACACAGAGCCTTGGCCCACACCGAACAGCAAGCTATAACGGGCCCTAAAATGGCTAGTGTAAAACAATTCAAACAGGAAAACCAACGATCCAATCTACATGATCTATATAAAAAACGAGAAACGAGACACATTTTAAGAACCACATTAACAAACGACAACCACTGAACAACAGGTTCCTGACATAGGACAGGTGCAAACAAATGCAGCGGGTTTAAACGTTTTAACAGGCACCAACCTCTACCCTATCCTGAAATAATAGTGTAACATTACAACATAGAAAGACACACTATAAAATATCAACTGAAATGGCTACCTGAGTTGAGGGTCGACAACAGCAGTTTCATCGTCTAATCCCATCCTGCAGGAACTTGTTTGATGGTTTGCTTGATTGGCAAAATGGCGAACCATACATCTCCAATAATTGTCCTCATCATATTCTTCTTCACTGCAATGACCAGGTGTGTCGTGTCTAATTAACGTGGCTCCTATGCTCTTCCATGACTTAGTTTCTTGAAGTTTTTGCAAAAATCGAATTCCTGCAGTATATTTGAAAATATCCATTTAAACTGCAGTTGATAATCGGAAGTTAATTAATGTAAACGAAGTATCCTTCTGGAGTACTTGACATCACTTCAAGCTTTAAAAGGAGTGTATTGTAAGATAAAATGTTGATTGTCTTTTATTCTTTGTCTGTACCATGCAATTGTAGCTTTTTACTTGATGTGTTTGAGTATTCGCCTCTTGATTTTGATGTCGACTTACTTTATATATCCTTTGCTATCTACTCATTCACCATGAGTGCATTGGTTGTTTCGTACGTTTCGAAAAGCGGGCTCTTCTGAAGCATTTCAAATGTGATCGTTTCAGAGTTTTCCTCGTTGTATAAAAATATTGAGATTTGGTATGATTGCCAATGAGACAACAATCCACCAAAGTCCAAACGAGGTAAATGTAATTTGTTTTCTCGCCTTTTTTTTAAGTCCATTTCTATTTTAGGATATTATTCAAATAAAATAGACATAAATTGACACTCTTAATAAATTATCAGTCAGGTTATAGAAATCACGATGATAATTAGGATAGCAATTTATTTGTTAGTTCGTTTAACTATCATATTCATTTTGCAGACATATCTTGTTAATCTACCATGGATTATCCTTACAAACAAAAACAAAAATTTTGTGTTTAACCTTGCTCATCTCAATATACCTTTGACAAATGTCTCAACATCATCTGAATCAGAAAGATACATTGGATCAATAACAGGCTTGTCTGACGAACTAGTTGTTGACAGCGTAATTGTTCCTCTACTTTTTGCATGCAGCAAGTTCATAATAACCACAAAACTATTAGGATCTGTTCGTTTAGCAAGCTCTTCCTTTACCTAAATTGTAAATAATCGCACCATAGATGCCAGGCTTAAAATTTTGTACGCCAGACGCGCGTAACGTTTACAATAGACTCGTTAGTGATGCTCGAATCAGAAATGTTAAAGGCCAAATAAAGTACGACGCTGAAGCGCATTGAGGACCCAAAATTCAGAATTGTTTTGCCAAATACAGGTATGGTAATCTATTACTTTGGTAGTAAATCCTTAGTATTTCAAAAAATTCAAAGTTTTGTAAGCACATAATTCATAATTATGACCATATCAATGATAAATCATGTTAACACAGAAGTGCTGACTACTGGGCTGGTGATACCCTAAAGACGGATACCTCCACCAGCAGTGGTATCGATCTAGTGGTTGTTAATAAACTCATCATAGATACTAGATTTAAATTTTGTACAGCAGACGCGCGTTTCGTCTACAAAAGACTCATCATTGACGCTCGAATCAACAAAATTAAAAAGGCCAAATAAAATACGAAGTTGAAGAGCATTGAAGACTCCAATTTGCCATAAAACGTACACAAAGTAATTAAACATTACTATGTTTATATCTTGCATTTATTATTAGAATTTAATTATATTGGTTTATATATAGCATTTACTTAAATAACAGTTTTGACGTTTTATCCATATGTATTACAAGATTTGTCTACTATGCTAGGGGTGTATGTATTGCTTGATATTGAATATTTAATCTATATATTGCCCACCAATTTTTTCACATTTTTTATCTATAATGTCTGTTTGTTTTGCTCACACATTGTTGTCAATTTAAGGTGGAATGGGAGTATAAATTAAGAATGATAGAATTTGTTCATACTTTGCCAAAACGTAGTATATATTGAGATATGTTCAAAAATATAACAAAAACTGATTGGTCACCGAGCATTTTCTCAAGCTACAGGCTGTGACAAAATGATACATTTTGTGTGGATTTTACAGAAAAAACATCATTAAGTGATTAGAAGCTAAACTAAATGAGAGAATTGTAAAATGAAATACGAGAAGATAGCTTTTAGAAAATGATTGAGAATATTGAAAGAAAAGATAGAGTCACCGTACGTTTTTTCCGGCTGAAATACAAAATAGCAAAATTTCATGTAGATTCCTTCAGAACATGCACTATTTCAGAGTTACCTCCCCTTAAAATGCCTATTTAAATAAAGCAAAAATCATGCAAAAATAATCTAAGCTTGTAAAAATATTAATATTTATAAGTTAAAATATTATAAATGTATTCATTTCAATGAAATTCCCATTAGTTATCTGCATTCCACACCAAATGTTGCCAATTTGATTGCAAATCTGGACCTTAGGTTCTCAGTTATTTACAATTTAAGATGGCGAAAGACACCCTTACTACCTTAATAGAATTCTATGCGACTGTCATGCAAGTGAGAGGTTTAGCTTACTATATAACCAGGTTAAATCCACCATTTTCTACATAAGGAAATGTATGTACCAAATCAGGAAGATGACAGTTGTTTTCCATTCGTTTGATGTGTTTGAGCTTTTGATTAAGCCATTTGATAAGGGACTTTCCGTTTAGAATTTTCCTTGGAGGTCGATATTTTTGTTATTTTACTTTTATGATGTCGTTTTGCATACTCATATTATTACGTTAAATCATTATTTGTGAAATATTCTCTTAGATTTAATCATTATGTATAAACATAACTTTTGAGCGGAAAAGTTTCCATATTGTTTTGTTATTAAGTATTTTAAATCTTTAGTTTTTATTAAGTTTCTTTATGATAGATTATTATTGTCATGACATTGAATATAGAAATGATGTTTAACATACACACATTAGCGGAATGGGCAAAAATTAAAATCCATGTAGATAGTATCGATCCGTTGAAGAATGTTGTACACTGTATAAAAACAAGAAGATGTGGTATGATTGCCAATGAGTCAACTATTCACCCAAGTTCAAATGAAGTGGATGTAAGTTATTAAAGGCAACCGTACGGCCTTCAACAATGAGAAAAACCCATACCATATAGTCGGCTATTAATGGCCCCGACATGAAAAATATGAAACAATTCGATTAAGAAAACTAACGATCTAATTTATAACAAAACAACTTACGAAAAACAAATATAACAGACATGAACCAGCGACATCCACTGAACTACAGGCCCCTAACTTGTAACAGACACATCATACAGAATGTTGAATGGGTTAAACATGTTTGTGAGTGCTCTACCCTCACCCTAACCTAGCACAACATAAGAACAAACTATAAAAATCAGTTGAAAAATAGCTTAACTCATCAGATCGATACAAAGACAAAAAACATCTAACAAAAACACAGACCGGACGTGGTAGTTTGTTAAATGACTGTAGTGATAAACCTATAATGGTGTTAACATTCTGGTACGAAGCTCTGTCGTACTACATTATAATATAGATGACTGTTCTCCACAGTAGATTTCATTCAGTATCATCATAAACAGAACATGAAGACATTATCCTTTGCAATGCTAACAACAAACATGTACGGTAGTTAAATACAACAAATTATCAGAAGCAATGACTGAATAACAACAGTTTAATTATACACTTTATCAAAATAAATTGAGCTGAAAAGAAGTAGTTACAAATTCCTAAACTTGTTAGCCTTATCAATTATTAGTAATATTACTGCATAAAGCTGGTGTGAACTTACTTCTTCTTTGTAGTAAAAACTGTCAAGAAAACCTTTGTCGTAAGACAAGCCGAGAAATATCAACTGGATATCAGGAGGTTCTTCATTATTCTGATCTAAATTGACAAAAACCATCCCATCTACTCCAATCTGAGCATATATACCTGAAAAATATTGGAATTTAATGAACAAATAAAAGAATTTTCTACGTGAATTTGATAATTACCTCGTATATATAATATACTCTGTATATTACTAAAATGCAGATGATCACCATGATTCTTTTTGGCCTAAAGTTATCATATTGTAAATCATGCCGTTAGATGTCTCTTTAGAATTGTTTAGCATTTTGTTTTACCTTGGTTTTTTGTAGCAGTCTATACGGCATTGATTTTGTTTCTTGTGGAAGACTGAACATTTACCTGTAGATCTTTACATCTTTGGCATTTTGGTCTTATGTGGATAGTTGTCTCATGGGCAATCATACCACACCTCCCTATCTTAATGAAACACTATGTTTCCCGATTCAGGTCCTGATAATGTCTGAATTGTTGCAGACAAAGAAAGTAAAGGGTAATCCTTCAAGGGCGTTCCTTACTTAAGACGAACGAACAAACAGACAAACCATATAAAACTGGGATATATAAAACCGTTGCAAGCAAGCAAGCAAAATAACACACGACTCTATTGTTTAAAAGGATTACGAATCGTAAATATAAATAGTTCAAAAATATTTAGAATAACGATTCCGGTTTTTGTTTTTTTTTTTCATTTATCAAAAATATTAATTGACCTTCTCTGAAGAACAAGTATTGCAGAATGTTTTCTGTGTTCATCATCTTCTGAGAAGTTGTAGCCAAGCTCATGTTTATTGAAACCTGAAAGTGCATTGCCATCTGATCTTGGACATTTTCACCGACAGGCAGATCTACAACAACTGGAATCTAAAAGGGAATTAATCAGAAGTAAAGATAAATATTAGCAAAACAAGTAAAAGTGTATAAAACGGTGAAATGTCCTCAAATATACCAGGCCTATACAATTTTTACAACAGACGCACGTTTTGTCTACACTGACCCATCAGTAGCGCTCGAATCACCTTTTTAACGTCAAATTAATAACAAAGTGTTTTCAGCATTCAAAAGAAAAAATCCCATTAGTTGTATCAAATCTGGACCAGGTCATTCATGCCTGGAATATCTGGTATTGTGCATATTTCAACTAGGTCATCCATGACTGGAATGTCTAGTATTGTGCATATTTCAACTAGGTCATCCATGCCTAGAATGTTTGGTAGCGTGTATGTTTCAACTAGGTCATCCATACGTGGAATGTATAGAATGTCTGCTATTGTGCATATTTGTGCATATTTCAAAGATGTGTAATACATTTCGAAAATGTTTTGACACAAGTTTCCCTTGCAAAAAGTAGAACTGTAAGTATTTATTCCGAATTAATCCCTCATTTCTATATTGCAGTAAAATAGACAAAGCAAACAAATTTTGTATTTCTACAATATGCAACTGACTTCTGTACTGTATTTGTACTTACCCCAATGTCATTCAGGTGCTGTTTAGGTCCTATTCCTGATAATAACAGTATTTTTGGTGAACCAACAACTCCTGCTGACAGAATGATTTCCTTTCTTGCATATACTTTGTTCAAAATGCCATCTTTAGAAAATTCTACTCCTTGTGCAACTTTTCCCTCGAATAGTATCTATATATAGTTACATTACATATGGATAAGAAGATGTGATATGAGTGCCAATGAGACAACTCTAGATCTCCATCCAAGTCACAATGTATACAAATTTAACAATCATAGGTCAAAGAACGGCCTTCAATACGGAGTCTTGACTCACACTTAACAGCAAGCTATCAAGGGCCCCAAAATGACTAGTTTAAAACAATTCAAACCACGGACACGAGAAACAATTATGAACCACAGCAACAAACGACAACCCCTGAACAACAGGCTCCTGACTTAGGACAGGTGCATATAAACGGGTTTAAACATTTCGTATATTTCATTAGAATCCCTGATGTTCATTGGCTGACAACAATCATGAGGCACTCCAATATCAAATTTCATTTCCGTATAAATACAACAGCTATGACTGCACGTTCTATCCGTGGACACTATTTAAAATATGCACAGAAAATCAAACGAAAAGCTTGATTTAACTCTTATTTTCATGATTGTAGCATAAAAATATAATTATTAGAATGCTTCTTTTTATAATTTAGGGTTGTAAAAGCGTTGATTGTTCGCACATTTTTAGAATGAAGCGCTTCCGATTATGCTTTGGTCAACGCTTTTCACCCAATAAAATTATAAAAAGAAGCATTCAATTCTTAAATATATATCATCAGGTTATTATCATATCGAAGAAAAATCATTTGATTCTCTTTAGATACATATAGCTAAATATTGTCTTTGACATTATTGCGGGGTTTAAATGTCGTTTAGGGTATGACGCGGGGTTGCTCATTTCCAAAATTCCGCTTTTGCCCAGATCCTACATCTCAACAGTGTGGCATTCCCCTCGTCGTTATATGCACCCATTTGTTTGTAGTTATTAAGTTATTATTGTAGAGGAAAAGACATAAACATTTCACAGTTATAGAACTTAAATTGCCTCATTCAAATCTACTATTGTCAGTACAAATGTATGCTTCTGAGGCAACTGGCACATCCAAAAGGGCAGGTTTCGTTGTTTTGATTTTGTTTTATTGTAGTATCATATTAGTTTCAGATAACAAGGATTTAAATACAAGTAGTACATGTTACTACTAAAACCCTTGCTCCGAATTTATGAGCAGCAATCATTACAATTAGATAGACTGAAAAAAACGCAATACTTGTGTTTATCTTCTATACAAAGTAGAACCAGACTTTAGCGGTCGTGACTATCTGAACAGTTATTTACCATTACACAACTACCATGCTTACTATATTATCTAAATTTTATAAGCAATATTGCAGTTAAAAGGAAAAGGTATGATGAATTCAATGTTTGGCCTTTAATATTCGAAAATCAAAAAGTATTTATTAAATAACACCCTTCAGATGTCGAAAAGACTTTACTCTGTCGAATGTTAGTATAACTAATTTTGTCTTACAGATTTGCTGTTTGGGCTAAAAACTTCTTGTATTCGATGAAAAACAGAATTTTCTATATTGTGATTAATATCTAAATACATAGGTATGATCCAAAAGCATCATAGATATAGAAACCCTAAAGATAGTTTGCTACAAAACGTCCTTTATAATCATATAAATGTTTGATACTATAAGTTTTCTAAGACTTTGATTCATATCTTTTTTTGTCTTAAGCTATACCTAAGGCCTAATTTGTCTATTTCAACATGTTGATAAGGTCATGGTGACATCACTATTGGCACAATGAGCAGGCGGTTCGTTTAATTTTTTTTTTCGTGTCCAACTGCACTTGTAAAAGTAATTTCACACAAGAGAAAGAAAAATATCAGAATTCAATATGAAACTACAGTAAAACAAAATCAAAAGAATGGAACCTGACCTTTTGGATTTGCCAGCTGCCTCAGATACATACATTTGGGTGCCACATGTGGAGCAGGATCTGCTTACCCTTCCGGAGCACCTGAGATCACCCCCAGTTTTTGGTGGGGTTCGTGTTGCTTAGTCTTTAGTTTTCTATGTTGTGTCATATGTACTATTATTTGTCTGTTTGTCTTTTTATTTTTGGCCATGGCGTTGTCAGTTTGTTTTCGATCTATGAGTTTGACTGTCCCTCTGGTATCTTTCGTCCCTCTTGTACTGCCAATAGTAGAATTGAATGAGGCATTTTAAGTTCTATAACTGTAAAATGTATATGAAATAACTGGAGAATGTGTCCATGTGACACAGATGATGCCCCCGCTTGTATATAACTTTATAAAGACCTATAAAGGGATATAACTCGAGAACGGTAAAAGTGACGCCACCCAAATTCGAACTTGATCTTGTTTTGTGGTAATAAGCAATTTGTATAAGTTTCATTACATTTCGTTGAGGTAAACTTAAGTAAGAGAACGGAAACCAATTTTGGGACGTATGTACGGACGGACGGACAAGGGTAACACTTAATGACCCCTCCGGAGACGGCGAGGGCATGAAAATAGCTGACTATCATAAAAATTGAACGATTTAATATTGCTTACTCCTTGAAGAACTATTCGTTATCTGTCTTTTTACTTATATGTAACTTGTGGTAATTTCATAAATACCTTTGACACATGGCTGTTTAAATGAACTTGCAAATTTGTCCTCTCTTGAGCTGGTCTTAGGTAGCAGGATGCTGTGTCACATCTTTCTCCTTTCTTAATATTAACTTGAATTCTACAGAAACCTATTAAGTTATAGATAATGCATATTTAAAAGGGTTTTCTTGTCGTATAACACACCGAGGGGTGTCAGGATTGATCAAATGAAAGACCAGTCGCAGGGAGATCCACCCTGACAACCCTCGGTGTGTTATACGACAAGAAAAAACTTAAAATATACATTATCAATAACTTATAAACAACTAACAAAGCTGAAATATTTTGGTAAATTTCACTTTGAAACAAGATCGAACACGATTGGATTCCTTCATTCAATCAGCACTTTCCGTCAACAATTTTACAATTGATGAAAATTTACCATAACAAATGCCACACTTTACCGTTGTTACCTGTAAGTTTTACCTTGTCTTTTTTATAAATATGTAATGTGATTATTTATGATAACTATTATTTTCTTAAATCCAGTACGTCAATGCGCAGTCTATTTTTGGAACTCTATGCGACTGTCATACAAGTGAGAGTTTTAGCTAGCTATAAAATCAGGTTTAAATCACCATTTTCTACATTAGGAAATGCCTGTACCAAGATAGGAACATGACAGTTGTTTTCCATTCGTTTGATGTGTTTGAGCTTTTTATTTTGCCATTTTATAAAGGACTTTCCGTTTTGAAATTCCATTGGAGTTCGGTATTTTTGTTATTTCACTTTTTGATTGCTCAGCAGTACCTATACATCAATACTTCTTGATCCTAACACTAAGGTGAAATATTCAGTATACTAGTACGTAAATGTAGATCAGTATCATACGGGTTTCAAAATTTAATATTGCAACAGCTAGCTTTTAATGAATTGTGATGTATAGTTATTGTTGTTTGGATAAAATATTTCTATTAGGGCATAGCGTATTAAGAAACAAGACAAAGGAATAAATTAATTCAGGATGATTACGTTAGCATAAAGTAGAGATGAAAAATTACCCAGTTGAGTTTCACTATTGCAGTCTATTCTATTGAATCCTAACTCTTGAGCAGTCTGTTCTAGTACGTAAATGTAGATCAGTATCATACGGGTTTCAAAATTTAATATTGCAACAGCTAGCTTTTAATGAATTGTGATGTATAGTTATTGTTGTTTGGATAAAATATTTCTATTAGGGCATAGCGTATTAAGAAACAAGACAAAGGAATAAATTAATTCAGGATGATTACGTTAGCATAAAGTAGAGATGAAAAATTACCCAGTTGAGTTTCACTATTGCAGTCTATTCTATTGAATCCTAACTCTTGAGCAGTCTGTTCTAGTACGTAAATGTAGATCAGTATCATACGGGTTTCAAAATTTAATATTGCAACAGCTAGCTTTTAATGAATTGTGATATATAGTCATTGTTGTTTGGATAAAACATTTCTATTAGGGCATGGCGTATTAAGAAACAAGATAAAGGAATAAATTAATTCAGGATGATTACGTTAGCATAAAGTAGAGATGAAAAATTACCCAGTTGAGTTTCACTATTGCAGTCTATTCTATTGAATCCTAACTCTTGAGCAGCCTGTTCATGAAAATATTCCAGCATTGTCATTCTGGACTCGACAATTGTCAATGGTCCGTTCCGTCCACGTAGATCTATAAAATGAAAAGTTAGAAATAGTCGTAGATTTGATATCAATTTTAGAGATGAGGCATTTTGATTGACAGAAAATAATTTTAAGTTGCTCACCTTTTTCTGGTTCATTCTGGCAATCAAAAGAGATGCAAACTTCTTCTGCTTCTGTTTGTTCTTGAGTTAAATCTTTCAAATTTTGCTTATTTCCTACAATTTATCGCATATATTTGGGGTTATTCATATTTATTGCATACATTTCTGACATTGATGACTTCATGCTGATGTATCTGTATCTGAGCGATATATACTTTAAGGGCATCCATTGGAAATCAGCGAAAATGCGTTCGTGGGTTATAATTAAAAGAGTGTATTTTTGCATTACAGTATTTGTTTTATTTCATATCTTTTAGTACACATATTTTTACACTGAACTTGTATATAGCTGATATCGATTCCTAAATGAATTTTACATTTACCTTAACCTTTTACCTTCAAACTAATACCATCTTAATTATTTTGTAACCAGCATGGTATTAATTCAAGATCGTCGCAGTTTTTGTTTGATTTAAGCTGTTTGAAAACATTAGATATTCTGAAATCAACTTGGAATTAGATATATTCTGCTTGAATTGCAATCAAGGTAAATTTTATCCTATAATTTATATAGATCATATATATTATATTTTTTATTCGAGCGTCACTGATGAGTCTTTTGTAGACGAAACGCGCGTCTAGCGTACAAAATTTTAATCCTAGTATCCATGACGAGTTTATATATTTCTACTTAAAGTGTAATTGCAGAGTAAAATTACCTTCATTGTACGTTGATAGGTTGAAAGCAATATTTTTCTACATCACTGTAGCTCCATCCGACAGCGCCCTCTTTCGTCCATGTGGCAAAATCTTTGGGATTTCCGCGGATAAGAGCCATTGCATTTATTTTTCCAGTTCCGCCTAAACATTTTCCTCGAGGCCAGTTGCTTACCTAATAAAGAAAAATAAAATCATATCTACATCGTTGTGGTGGTGTAAAATACGACACAGGCTATTTTGAAATATGGGGACCATAGTTCAAGAGTCATATTACCTTCTGATAGATTATTAAAAAAAATAAGGACATTTCATGTGCCATGGCAATAGTTGTCGTTGTTCGTAATGTTTTTCAATATGATAGAATATTAACAATAAGTAATATAAAGATGGATATCGTTGGTTTGTTTTATCTTGTTGAAAACTTTCCTTTCAAATATTTCGACCGTTTGCAACACTTTACATGTATTTTTGGTTATTTCGACTGTATGCCACACTTAACATGTATTTTTGGTTAATATTTCGACCGTTTGCCACACTTTACATGTAAGTTTGGTTAATATTTTGACTGTTTGCCACACTTTACATGTAGTTTTGGTTATTTTAAAGTTAGATTGCTGTCTCATTAACATTAACCCCATATCTCCTTTTTTAATTCATAATACTAAACAAATGTTTCCAGTAGATCTAAAACAAGACTACCTGATCTTTATTTGCAAAGTGAGAATGCATCTGCGGTATGGTCTTGAATTTCCAGTCTAGATTGCTATTCGAAAAAGCACTCCATAATAATGGTATCTTTGTCAGGTCGTCATCTATGTCTGACCCACCAGCCTCTAATAGTAGGATTTTATCAGATCCTTCAGACAAACGTGTAGCAACGATTCCTCCTGCCGACCCTGCTCCCACTGCAAAACACCAATCATTTTTATACCATTTTCATTTGATTTTATTTTACACCAACGTAAGATGAGAAGTCGGTGCCGTACTACATGTATATACTTATATAGTGTTTTAAAAAGTTGCATGCCACTGTCCAATAACATTTTTTTTTAACTATTATTATAAAGTAACATACCTACAATGTAGTCATAACACTCTTCTAGAGGTCTATCAAACACACCAGTTGAGTCTTTTCCGGTAGGTGGAAGCACCGTGGACAAAAAATTAACTAGGGAAGCTACCTGTACTAGTGATTGTCCTAGAAACATCACGTGGTCACCTAAAATTCTTATTTCAATAGAATTAAACATGTTGCATGTTGATATATTTTCACATAAAGTTATCTTTACAGCACAAAATGACGAATTATAGATGTATTGAAAAATTGTGAAGAAATAATTAAATATAACTATTCATATACTTTATGAATATGTACATTGTAACTATGAGAATACACTTCTTTCAATGAAACACATACAAACACAAAACGCTTGAGTAACGTTGTAAATAAACTCATCGTAGATTTCAAGATTAAAATTTTGTACGCCAGACGCATGTTTCATCTACAAAAGACTCATCAGTAACGCTCGAATCAAAAAAGTAAAAATGCCAAATAAAGTACAAAGTTGGAGAGCTTTGAGGACCCAGAATTCCGAAAGGTTTTGCTAAATAAAGCCAAAGTTATCTATTCCTGGGGTAGAAATTCCTTATAATCCGAAAAAATTCAAAGTTTTGTAAACAGTTACAAAATATCCACCAATGTTTCCATGTTCTTTTCGAGGTTGAAATTTCAAGTGTGAAATCAAGTTTCATCTTTGAATAATGGTTGATTGTACAATTGATAAAAATAGAATTCTAGATTAATGTAGTCAGTGATAGGTACTCAGTTCATCATTGATTCAGTTTTGTTGGCTGATGTGAGGCTAAACAGCCACCAATCATTTAAGCAATTCAATGTTGAACTTGGCGTATCACTAACAAATATTCAACATACTAACTCAAATTTAATGCATATTGTAAGATTATGCATGTCACAAGTTGGAAACTAGCCTGTAAGTAATACCATAGTTATAGTATAAAATGCAGACATAATGAAGTAGTTTTCAGTTCAATTATATTAATGAATATTAAGCATTTTAGTGATACTCTCCCAACACATCGAATTAAAAGTCCAAATTCTAACTGGAATTGGCTGTGTATCCATACATCTCACACAATCAAACGAACATGACAAGTCTTGATTAACCATATTCCTATACCCCAAGTCGACAACTTTTGGGGTTCAAAGAAATGGAAAAAAACTATTTACCTTGATAAAATTAATATTAGATGTTGACACACATACATACGTATGAATAATAACACAAAAAGTAAACGGTTCTAGTGAAGCATGGACCTATGCATAACATCAACCATACAGGTAAAAATCCATACGTGTTTAAAGTCATTCACCCTTACCTATGATATAGGCTTATTTCCATTTCGACTCAGCTGCTAAATTCTCTTCTCAAAATAATCCTCTTAAACATGAAACGGATTCCAAGTAGTTAACATTATTATTTTGAATGCAATTTAAATATAGAGCATGTGTTTGTGCTTCGTAGTAATCTGATGAGTCTTGGGAGTTTGTTCTAATGTTGTGCTGTTACGCCATTGTCCTAGGTTAGGAAGGTCTGTATTCTTTAACTTTATAGGTTTTTTTCTTTATTCTTTACTTTTTTCTGCCCATTATGCTCTATTCTTTATATTTTAGGACGCCATTATTCTCTATTCTTTATATTTTAGAGCCATGTTATTATCTATTCTTTGTTTTGCCTATTTGATTCTGTTCTTACTGCCCCTATTTTTTTCTATCTACCCCTCCTCATTTTCTTGCCCATTTTTCTCTGTACTGTAAACCCAATTCAGAACCTCAGTTAGGGAAGGATTTAACCACACAAACATGTTTACCCCATACGGTGACCTATAATTGCTTACAACCACGTCATTTGGATAGTTGTCTCATTAGCAATCATACAACATCTCCCTGGTTTTTGTTTTTATATCTAACTAATTTAGAAAAGGATCATCCTGTATATTATTTATTTTTATTTGAGTGGAATCCAAAGCATTCACACAAATACAAAAACATCATAAGATTTTGTTTGGAGGATATTTACAAATCACTACACATTTTCATATGAAATGAAAAATAATATAATAAAATGCGTAAAAGATGCGCTACATTGGGTTAAATACTTTCAAAGAAATTAATACTTGAACTTCTAATTGATGTTCTACAGAAATATTTTGAAGGAAATGAAATTTTTAATTATTGTAGCAATGCGATTAAAGCATTTAAAGAACTCTAAAATTCTATGTTTTTCTGTGTGGTTTAACGATAAAGCAACTTGAAACAGTTAATTTGTAATTCGTTCTGATGTCAGAGTACAGATTGGTATCATAAGGACATGTACTTTCCACTTGGACTTTGATATTAAATTAGCTATCCGAATACTCCTAGGTCGTTAGTTCCTTTTTCATCGTTGACTTCCTAAATTGGTCCATTATTCTCTATTTTGTAAACCCCACTCAGAACCTCGGTTATTTAAAGAACCTTAGCTTTTACTCTTTCTTTTTTTTTAACTATATAGAAATTTGAAACACGCCTGAAAAAGAGAGACGAAGGATACCAAAGGGACATTCAAACTCATAAGCCGAAAACTAACCGACAACGCCAGGACTAAAAAAGAAACAGAAAAACATAAAAACAACAGCACACACAACGAGTTGAATTGACGATTACCACTTTTTCATAAATCGCTGGTTCTCTGTATCTGCATCTACCATTTTCTACATAAGGAAATCCCTGTACCAAGTCAGGAATATGACAGTTGTGCTCTATTCGTTTGAACTTTTGATCTTGCCTTTTGATAATGGACTTTCCGTTTTGAATTTGCCTTGAAGTTCGGTATTTTTGTTATTTCACTTTTTATTGCATCGAGGATATCAACTCGAGTTTTTTTTTTTTTTCGACTGGAGAGAGAGCATCTATTGGCGGTGTTGGAGAGTTGTTTTGAAACTCTCAGCTGACTAAGGGCACACTATGTCTTTTTCCATCTGGTTGCAATGAATTACAGTTTTTACGGCCAACGAGTTCTTAAATTTTTCAGTTTTTAATTGTGATGCATCAATTGCCTTTGAATTTTTCTTGACTGAATTGATTACTGTTTTGGCACTTTCAAAGTCATCAAAACGTTTAGGTTTAATTCTCATTTTGCTTTTATTGTAACAACAAAATTGTCAGGATTTATAGCTGGAACAAAACCCGCAACCACCTTGTACAGAAATACTACTCGCTCTTTAGTTCTTCTTGACTGTAGATTGTCTAGTTCTCAGACGGTTATTATTTGAGGACCGATCCTTCTACTCTAGTCCTTTGTGATGAATCTTGCAGCTCTATGTTAGATCCTTTCTAGTTGGTTTATCCTATTTTTTTTTGTATGGATCCTATAAAATGGTCCCATATTCCATTGTGGATCTTACCAATGAGTTGTAACTGTTTTCATGCAGTTTTTTGGGCAGGACAGTAGATTGCTTTTGAAAAACCCGAGTGTTGAATTGGCTTTCTTGGCTACATTTGAGATGTGGGTTGTCCATTTTAAGTCATTTGATTTTTGTAAACTCAGATATGGTTTGTGTTTGAACTGTTGGAGTATGTGTCCATCTAGGCTGTACAATTTTTGCCATTTTTTATCCTTTCAAATGTTCAGAGTGTAACATTTCATTGCGTTGAAGCGCATGCCTCAGTCTTTGGCCCATATATCTAGGTTTACTTGATCTTGTTTTCTCTTATTTTCTGCTTTTTTCACATTTCTCGACCGGTGTGAGAAAAATATTTCTCATCTGTAGACAAAAATTTGTTCTCGGCAAATGATTGGTCGAAATTTAATTATGACGTCAATTTTTCTTGGTTTCTTCTGAATTTACTATTGTAACGTTATGAAAAAGGCGACCTTGCCTGATGATGTCACATGTAAAGAACAAAACTGTGTGCAAATTTTTAAAAAGGAACGATAAACTTTGCTTAGATATCGTCTAAAATCATTAGAGAAACAGATTCCACCACTATAACTCGTGTTTTAAGATGTTTCTCCACTCTCACAGTTAAATTTTAATTCCTTCAAAAGTTCGGCAAGCCTCGCACTTTAAATATTAACATTTAACTGTCTCAAGTGGAGAAATATCGTAACACACTTGATGCAGTGGTGGAATCTATATGTAGCAATATGTGATAGGGTTGTGATTTAATGTACCTGTATAGCAGCCAATCATCGGTAATATGCCTTACTGTTAATTTAACTGCATCTGGCAGGTCATTAATGTGGTAGACAAAGAGGAGAGGTCTGAGTACGGGTCCTTGTGAAACTCTGGAGTCAACTGTAGCTTCTTCTGATACATTTCCATCAATGACAACCTTCATCTTTCTTTGCGTAAAGAACATTTCTAGTCGTTTATTAAGTGGTCCTCTCACACTATATTCATCTAGTTTATGTAGTTATGGCGTTGTCAGTTTGTTTTCGACTTATGAGTTTGAACGTCCCATTGGTATCTGTCGCCCCTCTTTTATAGTGTGGAACGGTGTCAAATGCTTTCGAAAAGACCAGGATTGCGACATCGACTAGGCTTTCGCCTCTCTTTTATGGCGTGGAACGGTATCAAATGCTGTCGAAAAGTCCAGGATTGCGACATCGACTAGGTTGCAAGCATCATGTGATTTCATGAAGTCATGCAGTGTGATTAATAGTTGTGTTTCACCTGGGTAGTCTGTCCAAAATCCACTGTTAAGTGATGTTAGTACCATGCACTTGTCTAGATGGTTCAGCCAATGTTTACAGATGTGTTTTAAGATTTTACATAGCACAGAGGTCAGTGACACCGGTCTATAATTTGCATGAGCGTGTTTGTCTCCTTTTTTAAATACGCTCGAGATGTTTGCGTTTAACCAGTCTCTGGACATTTGGTATATGACTGTAAGTCATGGTACGTGTTAGTTGTTTATAGCATTCCTTAAGGCTTTTTTTTTGTTGTGCCATCTTGTCTTGATGCTTTTGATTGGTTTAGTTATCTTAGCAATTTTTCAACCCCTTCTGGTCTAATTTCTAGGGTTGTATTGTGTTTTAGGTGCTTTGTTGTTTAAGGCAGCTAGTACTCTCCGATATGTACTTCGTGTCTTTTGTTAGGGTTTTTATGTGTTTTGTATCGATCTGATGAGTAAAGCCCTTTTGAACTGATTTTTATAGTTTGTTTTATGTTGTACTGTTACACCACTGTCCAAGGTTAGGGGGAGGGTTTGGTGACAGCAACCATGTACATTTCTATACGCGCCTGTCCCAAGTCAAGAACCTGTTATTCAATGGTTGTTGTTTGTTGCTATGTGTCACATTTGTTTTTAGTTAATTTGCACTTAGTTACACGTTATTTTTGTTGGCTTTACTTTTTACAATGTTTCCTATGTTTACATATCTGTTTGTGTATTATTTATATTTAAAGATATGTCCTACTCAAATTTTTCATATAGTTAGACAATAAGTCATGACTGGAAATTTTAATGGCATCTGTTTAGTTGTTTAACTGAATGATCTTTCCATATGATTTGTTTAAGAGGGTGCTACTTCTTGTTTTGGGTACTGGTCAATATCTTCTTGAACAAATCATTGTGACAGACTTCTACCGCTCTTAGACTCTTAAATGTTAACACTGTTTGATGTTTAACTACCTTTGTCTTTCCTATATTTTAAATTTTAATACATATATGACAATCAGATGTAAATGAAAGCTATAGGTACGAAGACCATAACCATAATGACTTTTGAAAGTTTATTAAGTAGCTTTCCATTATTTTAAAATTTGAATTTGTTATTCTTGGACAATTCTAAAAATTCAACGAATAATTTGACTTTAAGATACATGTATTTGCTGTTTGAAATTTCTAACCCAAGATAAGTTTACAATGTATTCTAGATAAGTGACTTTGTTAGTTCATCATGATGCTGATTATAATGTTACTTTACATTATTTCTTATAAATACTGTTCTCTGCTAAAATCAAAATATGTGCAATTCCACCGATATTTTTCGTTCTTTTAAGCCATTTGCTATCATAAAAATGATGTCAAAATGTAGATCAGTATATTGAAGGAAGTTTTGTTGAGAAAACTTTGAATGATAATTATATCCCTATAACATCCATTTCCATATCAGCCACTTCATGCGAAAAGTTACAAAACATGATTTTGATACACCTTATAAGACACGTTGTTAAAGTTCATTAAAATATTTTTAAAAACGATTTTTCCGTATTA